TGATGTTCGCGGTATCTTTGACTCTCGGCCCTCGTGCCCCCGGAGAGCGCGCGCCCGAATTGCGAACACAGTCGGGCGCGTGCATCTCACCCCAACTCCCTCACTGACACACATCTCTCTAGGTGACGAACGCGCTTTACTGAATGTTGAGTTTTTCTTAGGAATTTCAAGTTTGTTGTCGACGCTCCGGGATGGGTCTGGGTCGGGCAATGGAATGGAATGTTATAACAGCGTCATGTATCTCTCTGCGCTCAGTGTCTCCCGCATCATTGTGCAATGTATTCGCGAATTCGATGACATACCTTGGGCTAATTTTGTGCGACTGCCCGTGTCTTCTTGCGCGGGGCACATCGCGAGGACCATGTCCATGGATCGTTGGTATGAACGGCCACGAGTGTATTGTCATGCATCCACAAAGGGAGATGATCATGTCGAAGGGTACATCGAACAGCGGCAGCGAGCAATGGAACCATTGATGTCACCAAGAAGACCGAAACGGTATATGTGCAGAGAGAAATGATAAGGATAAGAGACAGAGAATCCGCGGAGCACTATGACGAGGAGTACGATGAGGTATGAGATACAAAATGTGAGAGTATCAGGCGTGGTGTCTAAACGAGTGGACGGGTGGTCGCGCCCACGCATGCTTATCTTCTACTGAAGATGAGTGCGAGGACGCTAGCAGCCCAGGGTGCAGTGTAGCAAGGGAAGGGGACACAATCATGGCTGGTATAAGAGCATGAATGTACGGAGTCCAAGAAGGTGCGGGTCCTTCCTTCGACCGATATCGGATGGAGACCACCGTAAGTTCGGGCTTCAATCCAAGCCCAAGCGCGACAAGTGCTCGGCGTGCCTTCGGTGCTTCTGCACAGCGCCGGTGGGGATTGCCTCTGCGGCGCGTTTCTCGACGGTCTTCGTCGGGCTGACATGAGGCGACGAGCTCGTTGCGAGCACACCACTCCCCTAATCCATGGCACATACCGATGGTCTTCATGTTTGCGGTTGAACTACGAAGCCCCCCCAGCACATACAGTGCATGAGATGAACTCATATACGCCAAGCAGCTCCTTCTATATGAGATTCGAGTGTTGACATTGCCCAACGACAACGCTACTTCGGAAGCTGCACATCCACGAACGCGCATCGGTCCCACTTCAACGCCCTCCCTCGGTCGGTAACGCCTTGCACGTAAAACCGCACGCCGATACCTTGCAGAGCCTCTGGAAGGCAAGCATCGTCCACGAAGAAACGGTGCAAGCGGCCGTCCAGACCTGTTGTACCGATGAACGTCGCCTGCCCCGGCAATGGCACGCTCGGCGCCAGCGGCGTTCGCGCCTGCACGTAGATGTTGAAGTATGAAAACGCGGGTGTCTGTCGCTGGCTGTAATCCAGGATCCACGCAGGGATGGGGTCGTCGGGAGATGTGATGGACAGGCTGGGTAGCGTCGGCAAGGACGCGGCAGTCTCCCATTCGAGCACGCCGGCGGATGCCGGTGCTGTACCGGGAGTGTACGAGGCCCATAGGACCTTCGGGTTTGTCTGTGACAGGGGTGCAGTTAACGGCGCTGGGTAAACGGCCAGCTGTCCGAGAACAACAGAAAACTTGTAGGACTGCGTAGGGTCCTCCACAGCGAAGCCAAGGGCGAGTCCAATGGCGACGCCATCCCTCGCAAGCTCGCATTGGTCGGCACTGAGCGTGAGCTGGACTGTCGTGCGGCTCCATCCTCCGGGAAGGTCGATCGCTTGATCTGTGGACACCGGGGATACGTTGAGGTTGTGATGTGCCTTGCCGTCCGGTGCCAGAATCTTGATCGATAAACCTAGGTCCACTTCCACTTGGGCATCGTCCTCCTGCGCGTCGACCTTGTACACCAACGTCACATGGTAGGGCATTTGGGAGCTCAGTGCTGCAGATTGCACTGGGACCCAGAGACAACGGAAAAAGGCATCCTCTGCGTCTGAGCCAGGACAGGAGAATGACAGCCGTAAGCTGCTGCCTCCAGTCCATGCATCTTCGAAGAAGATAGACGAGGTCGCGGTGGGCAACACGTCCGTCCGCGGGGGCTGATCGTTCTCCGCCTCCCAGGTGACAGCAGCCCTGGGCCACACCAAGTCCCCGAGCGAAGTCTGCTTATCCACGTCCGTCCACCCTCCTGTTGCCGCCTTGTCCATCACCTTCACGCCCTCCACCCACCACGCGTTCCCCACGCCAGGGCAGAACGTCGTGCAGAACGCCACGTCCAGAGGATCTGGAGGAGCGCGCCTCCCGAAATAGTTCGCGATGGGTTCGAAGGGCCCGTGGTCGTGCACCGGCTCTCCCTCCCTTCGGGGCGCCTCCGGCACGTCCGGCCGGCCCTGTTCGTCCTCCGGGCCAACCCACAGCAGCCGCTCGTACTTCCACCACGTCTGCCAATCGAACCCAGGCTTGTCCTGCTCCGACTCCCATGTCCATGCGGGCCCGAAGAGCGCGGCGCTAAGGCCAAGTCCGAGCGGATCGATGTGGGCGAGCGCGCGATAAGAGCCGAGGCCACCGCCGCCGTGTTGCCCGCGGCCCCATACATCGACTCCGACGTACACAGAGTTGAGCGTCTTCGGCTGTGTTCGGAGTTGGGCGAGCGAGGCCTGGGCGAGGGACAGGAAGTACGAGGCGGTGAGGTTTGGGTAGTGTGCGGGCCACTACACTCGCATTGTGAGCATATATACCCGTTGAAGGCGACGAAAGATGCTCACTGTGTAGTTCGTGAAGAAGGCTGTAGACGGAAGGAAGAAGGGCAGGTTGAGGCTGTTCAACCGATCTTGCCATCGGAGCTGACCAGTAACGACCACGCTATCGTACCTGATAGGACGAATACATACGATCAGCGTTCAAGTCTTGCGATCGTCCATGCGTTGGACGTACCATATAGTTTCTGCATGAGGTCCGACTTTCGACTTGAGTTCCGCGTCAAGGAGCGCGATCCACGCAGTCAGGGCGCGAGTCTGCTCCAGTCCACCTCGCAACGGGCATTCAAAGTTGAGCAAGTAACCGTCGAAACCGCGCTGGTACGCTAGATCCGCAAGTACCCGGGCGTAATACGGCGAGAAGGGAAGCGTGTCTCCTGCAGAAGAGCCCGTAACGTTCGAGGGCAAGCGTCCGACGAGGAGGCGCAGACAATCCGCTTCGCCGTCGCCTTCGAATATCCTGCGAGCCAGAAGAGATATAGGCATGCGTACGCAAGGGAGAAGAAAAACCCTGACTCACAAGGTGCCTAGCATTTTGACGCCTTGGCGATGCGCAGCCGTGCTCCATCCCGGCGGAGGAATAGTCACTCGGTGGTGCGAGAAACTGGAACGATATGAGGGAGATCCTTGACAAGAATCAACAAATGACGACGTACTATATGAAAGAGTCGCATAAAGGCCAGAAATTGAAGGTGTAACCATGCGCCGACGTCGATTCGGTGTAACCGCCCTATGATCACCGGGTGGTGAGCACACGAGGTGTAGCAAGTTGGAAAACCATCTTCACCTTGTAGTCGTGACAGACCTTCAGCCGCAGTCAGCAATGGCTATAATCGCGAGCAATCGGCCGTGGTTCACCAGTAGCTTCCCCTGGTGCGCTTGCGGGCCAGGGACCGGCCTGCGTGGCGTGTACGGGAGTACCGCGCCGAGCTTGGGCGACGGTTTCGACGCCCAGTCGTCTAGTTCTGCTAACGATCTGAAGAAGGGGGCCTCATCCTTGACGAGTATTGAATGGTCGGTGCCGAGGAGGGGCATGGCGAAGAGCGGATTCCGAGCCGAACATGGTGGTAAGCGCTCATCGTGGTATCGCGCGTGCGGAGATACGGGGCATGAAACTGAGTATAGAATTGTGATAGCGCTTGCAGTGCAGCACAGACATAAGATGTTATTACAGTGCAACTACACTATGCGACACACACGGTGTAAACGAAGAGGCTAATCAAAGAGTAGACCGGTTAGCTAAAACATACAGGTGCCGCAAGATTCAAGGCTGTGTTCCTGTCGAGCGACCGCCGCACTACCTTTTCACCACCAAAGCCGCGGCCATCTCTTCCGCCTGCTCTGCAGGAAGACCAGCGATCCGTCTCCACGTCGAAGTATGCATGTTCTCGCAATGTTGGATCAGCGAGGACGGCGTCGCATCGATGGGGAACGGCAGCAGCTTCACATGTGCCGCATTTTCCTGTTCCCGCGTCTGAATCCTGGAGTAGATTGACCATATCTCAGCATTGACTGCGGAGTGAGAGAAGTGAGGGAAGAGAAGGAGTGCATACATGCATAGCCGGCACCACTTTCGAGCATTATCCTCGTCATGGTACACGATCTTGAGGTGGAACTCCATACTCGTCTTCTCCTCCTGTCGAGGACGCGAGCGCTCCTCGTTCGGTGCGATGGAGGATGCTGCCCGAGCCTGCTGGTTGCTCATGGACGAGACGTCAAAGGGAGTCCTGCGGGAGGTCTCCCAGCGAGAGTACGCGGAACCACCAGAGGAGCTCGAGCTCTCCCAGTCCGCGACCCCGCCTGAAGACGAGGGCGTCCCCGAGTCAGGCACTGAGAACGAACTGGCGGAAAAGCTTCTCCTGCTCCTCGGCTCATCAGCAGACGTCGCCTGTGTTAAAGGGAGAGGCTATACGCGGTGGTAGTAGGTAAGAAGTCAGGAGAAGATAGCAAGCCGCAGCGATAAATAGCAAAGTGACTCACATGTTTACGCGGACGCCCGCGAGGTCTCTTGACGAGCGAAGCGTCCGGAATTGGCTGGCCATAGGAAACCAGACATGTCGGATACAGAAGCGCTCGCGAACGCAGCAGAACATACATGTTTCCGTGGACGACCTCGAGGCCTCTTCACCACCTCATTATGACCACTCGGGTGTTGCGAAGCGGCCTGGAGTTGCAACGCCAGGAGTGTCTTCTTGTTCTTGCTCCCCTTGGGACGACCGCGACCACGGGGTACAACGGAGTCCGAGCTGCTTGAAGTCGCATGCGACTCTACTGCCGACATAGCGAACGATGACGATCCAGTATTGTACAACGCAGATTAATAGGTGCCTGTTGTCTGCTGCAAAGCCAAGCAGAGACACTCTAATGGGCGTTGCTCTCTGGCCAGTACGTAGACTCAGGTATAAGCGATTCTTGTCACAGCATACGACGCGGACATGACATGAGAGGCGCGCAGTAGAATGGATCAACGGGTAGGGTCACACGCCACCATCGCGGAAAAACAGTATGTATTGCGGAGGAAGCATGGGTGCAACGTCTTACGCCTAATGGAAAGTAGCATCAAGAGCAGAGAAGGAACGTAGGTATATGCAGGAGAATGCATGCTCTGGGTTGTCCATAATTTTGTGTGGTATCACCACCGTCGCCCGCCCAATGTATAATCCGGTGGTGGTCGTGCTGAATGTGCAACAGAGTGACGGTTAGGGTCGGCGGCATAGTTGAACACCAATGACTCACCTCGGCGTGGAGGCATTCCATGTGGGCTTGCGTCGCGTAGTGGAGGCGGCGGCGGCCCAGCGGAAGAAGAGTTCGAACTGGGTATGATCGCGTTCCTGAACAAGCTCATCAAGTCGTCCGTCTTGAAGACAGGACCTATACACACATATGTCGTCAGCACAAGCATCACGAGACGCAAGGAGCAGAAACGCTTACCGTCGAACGCCGCCGGTGGGGGCAAAGTTCCGACGAACCACGAGATGACCGGCGGCACATGCACCTCCCTGTGCGGCTTGCCATGGTCGCGCTCCCTCCCCGCCGGGCTGGCGTACCTCCTCGCCGGGGGCGGCGGCATCTGCGCCAGCGCCGCCCTGCGCTCTCTTTCCCTCTCGCGATCGCGTTCCAGCCTCTCCCTATCCCGCTCCCTCTCCATCCTCTCGCGCTCCCTCTCGCGCTCGCGCTCTCTCTCCCTGTCCCTCGGCGGCGGGCTCCCACGCTGGCGTTTGGCCGGTGGCGGCTCGTCCCGCCTCCTTCCATCCGGCGACGCCCCCCTCTTGGCCGGCGGGGGCGCCATCGACGCAGACGACGCGTCCGGGTTGGCCTTGCCAACCGAGCTGCCGCTCGAGTTCGAGGACAGGTTGTTTTGGCGTGCGATGGCGAAGCCGAGGTCGCGCGCGGCGATGGCGTCAGTGCCAAGGTAGATATGGCGTTGGGCAAATCGCTTAATCGGAGGGTCTGTAAACGGAGAGTCAGAGTGATATCACCAGGTGCCAACAACGTCACTTACCGTTCGGATAGACTTCCGCGAACCTTCTCTCGAGCTCTTGGGAGCTGGGGAGGTCACCGAACTGGTATACATATCGCGCCCAGCGCTCCCATAGCGGGCGGGCGCGATCCGCGGGAAACTTGGTGACCGCCTTCTTGAACAGCGCGTCGGCATCTGTACGAACGTCGTGATCAATATATTGAAAAACCGAAAAAGGCATACTTGGGAATGAAACTCACTGTTCTGATCATTGATCGAGATGAGGAAGCCCAAATGCCTCGTCACAAACTCGATCTCGTCCCCGAAGAGCTCCTCTCCCTTTTCGAAGATTCTTCCGGCGACGGCGACGTCTTTGCTGCAATGGTACTCCATGAGAGCAGCGGCCTCGTACACCTCCCAAGGCGTCCACGAGTCCTGGCGGGCCTTCTTGAAGATCAACCGCCACGGCATCTGTCCCTCCGCCCGGCGCGAGAAGCGCATGTACATGATGTACACCAGCCCGTACTCCGTCCGCTTCTCCGCGAGCTCCTTCCGCTTCGACTCCTCATCCGGCGTGCTCGTCGTGGACCCCTGCGAGCTCTGGGTGTTCTGGGAGTTCATCGTCGTGTTCGCGCCCACGCTCGTATTCGGATCCGTGGCGAGCGTCGTGTCCGCGCCGGCGGCGGCCCCGTTCGCGGCCGGTGGGTAAACGGCATCGATCCGGGCTTTAAGGCTGTCCAGGTCGGCGCGCAGGACGTTGAGGAACGTTTCGAACGTCGTGCGCACCTTCGCGAAGTCGCCCTTGAGTTCCATCGCCTCGGCGTATGCAAAGTTGAGCAAAAAGCTCGCTGGATTCGCTTTGATGCCGGCTTCTAACCAAGTTATCGGCTCGTCCTGCTTGCCGGTGGTAAGGCCTTTGGCCCACGTATACGCCATGAACCTGCCACACGTTGTAATTGAGCTATTGGAACAAACACCAAGGAAAAGACGCAGGCAAGGGCTCACCAGATCTCGCCAAAGTATCTCATCCGCACAACCGCCTTCCTGTACACGCCCCTCAACCGTGCCTCCAGCACCGCCCGATCTTTCTCCTCCAACGCCAATGGATTGCTCTCCTCCCACTTGAGATACGCTTTCCACGCGCCCACGAGCGCTCTCTGCGCGGGGTCGAACGTCGGCACGCTGGGCAGCCAGACGCTCGTCCGACCGCTCACGCCGCTCGGCGGCGGTGGCGGCAACAGCGTCGCGAGGTGCCCGCGCAGCGTGCGCAAGACGGACCGTGCCTGCATGTGCTCGGGCCGGAGATCGGTCATAAACTTCTGCGCCGTCGTCCGGTTCAGGCCGTTCTCGAAGCTCTCCAGTTCGGACCACAGCCGCTCGACGTTCTCGAGCGGGATTTTCACGGCGCGGTGGTACGCCTTCCGGATGGCGTCGTTCTTCTCTTGCTCTTCGCGAGGTGTGGTCGGTTGCGCCATCTTGAGGAAGGTGACGTAGTCCGCCCACATCTCACCCGCATCCTTATCCTGACCGATGTGGCGCAGCGCGTACTCGTACGAGTCTGCGACGATTTTTCGGGCTCCTGGATCTGATCCCGAGTGTAGACGCCTGTAATCTCTACGACTGAGCAACCGTTCTACTTCAATCGAGGGTTACACCAGAAAGCACATACCTCACGTAACCGATGTAGTGCCGCCACAGCTCAACGGCGGGCGAGGTAGGCAAAAAACGTTTGAACAGCTGCTCAACGGTCGCTTGCTGGCCATTTTGCATGTAGTGGTTGATGTACGCGATTTGCGCGCCAGCCTACACAAAACATGGGTCGGATACACGGGCCGCGCTCTCAAGTTTTGCGTCACATACGGTATTCGGATACGTTTCCAGCAGGCGGTCATACGTGGCCTTCACCCTATCTAGCTGAACGACACCGTTCGGGCCCGGGGCCTCGGCGAGGTCCACGAGCTTCTTCCATCCCTCAGGGTTGTGCGGGTGGTCTTTCAGTCGGGCAAACAGGACATCCCAGGGACTCTGGGACGGGTCTTGCTGGGAATGTTGAAGTTGCTGGCTTGTGGCGGGTGAATCGATACGTTCGGAATTTTGAGAGGAGGCCAACACGGAATGATCTTGCAACATGCTGTTAAGCTTAAGTGGCCTTGTATTCAGTGCAACGAGTGGCGCCTCTCCAGGCGTGACTCGCCGAGGGGACAAACGAAGCCAGCGCCAACCGGAGCGCAGCCGAGACCGCCATGGGCACCGCCACGACGCGTTTACGTAAGCCGTCAAGCATCATTCACCGTGTCAGTATCCAATATTCAGACAATGAGTTTGGAGCTGATTTGCAGCCAGTATTTCTCTACGGAACGGAATCAACTTGTTTGTCTACCAATGAGAAGCCGCGAATTGAATTCGTCGCTAATATTTATCAGCTGCAAATCAGCTCTATTCATCCTATTTAAATACAAGCGCAGGTATCGTCCACATCGCAAACGCAAAAGCGCCCGCCCAGGCTGCTTCCATCGCGAACGCAACTACCGAACGCCGAGCACAAATGCTATCGATCCCCCCCATCTCTGCTCAGAAACATTTGCGGTGGACGATCGCCGGCCCGAACTCGTCGTACTCCTGCTTCGAGCACCAGAGATTCTGGAACGTCGACAACGACGCCAAGATCGAGCCTCCGATCCACACCGAGTACTTGCGCTCGGGAGGCGCGACGATCTTGACCTACAAAACGTGATTGCATCTGTAAGAATCACCGCGCGTCGACGACAGTGAGCACGACTCGCCTTCATGCTGGACGGCGCGAGCGCCGTGAGCTCTTTCTGCATGCGGTCCGCGATGCCCGGGAACATGGTCGTGCCGCCGGACAAGACGACGTTGCCGTAGAGCTCGCGCCGAATGTCAAGGTCGCACTTCATGATCGAGTTGTATCTGTAACGCGCATGTAAGTAAGTGCGCGAGCCAATCGTAATTCATCTTTGCTGCGGGAATCGCAGAGGGACACTCACGTAGTTTCGTGGATGCCGGCCGCCTCGAGACCGAGGAAGGCGGGCTGGAAGAGCGCTTCCGGGGCACGGAACCGCTCGTTGCCGATGGTGATGACCTGGCCGTCAGGTAGCTCGTAGCTCTTCTCCAGCGCGGACGACGTCGCGGCGGTGACGAGCTCCTGCTCAAAGTCGAGCGCGACGTAGCAGAGCTTCTCCTTGATATCACGGACGATTTCACGCTCGGCCGAGGTCGTGAACGGGTAGCCGCGCTCGGTCAGGTTCTTCACCAAGCACTCGGTCAGGTCGCGCCCGGCGAGGTCGAGGCGGAGGATCGCGTGCGGAAGCGAGAAGCCCTCGTAGATGGGAACGACGTGCGACACGCCGTCCCCCGAGTCCATGACGATACCCGTCGTACGCCCGGAGGCGTACAGCGAGAGCACGGCCTGTACCGACACATGGAACGCGGGCGAGTTGAACGTCTCGAACATGATCTGCGTCATCTTCTCTCGGTTGGCCTTGGGGTTGAGCGGCGCTTCGGTAAGCAGGACGGGGTGCTCCTCCGGCGCTACGCGGAGCTCGTTGTAGAAGGTGTGGTGCCAGATCTTTTCCATATCGTCCCAGTTCGTGACGATGCCGTGCTCGATCGGGTATTTCAAGGTGAGGATGCCACGCTTCGACTGTGCTTCGTCGCTGCCCGTGTCCCGCATAAGTGGCTACCGACAGAACGTGAAACCAGGGTGGTGATAACGTACCCGACGTAGGAGTCCTTCTGACCCATGCCGACCATGACACCCACATGCCTTGGGCGGCCCACGATAGATCTGCGTGTATATTTCAGGCTACGCTCAGGCTAAGGCGATAAAATCCTTACGGAAAGACAGCGCGAGGCGCGTCATCGCCTAAGCGAATGCCTTCAGATACTCGTGAACGCGCTCAAGCTGCCGTACTCACCCGCGACTAAGAGAACGCGTCAGATCTCGTGAACTCCATATAACGGAATGTACTCACATCCCGCCTTGCACATGCCCGAACCATTATCGATAACCTGCGGCCCCAGTCTTCAGACAACATTCACACCCAGAATATAGTATAATGATACCCACGATAGCAGCGATCTCGTCGTCCATCACGTATGTGGTATATGAGACTGAAAAGTAGTGGTGTTGACTGTTCGGAATCTGGCCTGGGAGATGCTCCGCTGAGGTCCTCCATTCCGAAGGGCGGTCCGAGCCTTTTAACGTAGGGCACGTCCGCTGCAACATGCGCAGCGCGCAGCGGTCTGCTTCCGCGCTGACAAACCCCCGCCAAGGTCGTTGGATACGGTCCATCGCGCGCTCGGGCTGCGCCGCAACGGTTCGTTCGCGAGCATGGGTCCAAGTTGTCAGGAAGCTGTCAGAGGCGGGCAGAAGCCTTTTTCGAACGGCCCGCCTAGACGACAGACTATAATCGGCGTGAGCGCGCGCATCTTCCCCGCTCGAGTTAACTGCCGAGGTCTGAGTTGACTGCGCATACGGTGCGCAGCTCTCCGCTGTATGACGCTCGCAGTGCACAGCCAGGCATCTATGAGGTGAAACGGCGCCAAGGCCGGTTATGATATATATGATAGCTGGTTACAGCTACGGCTAGCCGCAAGGTTCGGTTCGTTCGCGGTGGTGGTGCTTGCGAGACCAGCAAACTGCGGGCAAAGGGCTGGAGCAAAGGAGTTCAAGTGGTGAGACGTGTCCACCACCTGCACTCACGCGCGTCCACACAACCGACGTAATCTCGCCCCGCTTCCGCTGAGTAGGCAGACCATGGCAATGGAGTAGGTGAAAAGAGCCCATATCGTTACTTCTTGACAGCAAAGATCACCGTATCGCGCCAGAACAAAGTATCGTAATATTGTATCTAATCCGCCTCCGCCTCCGCAAACCGTGGCGTCGTCGCGCGTCAGTCTTTTGGAGCCTCCCCCATGCGAGCGCGCGCTTAGAAGCACTTGCGGTGGACGATGGCCGGGCCCGACTCGTCGTACTCCTGCTTCGAGCACCAGAGGTTCTGGAACGTCGAGAGCGAGGCGAGAATCGATCCACCGATCCACACAGAGTACTTGCGCTCCGGGGGCGCAACGATCTTGACCTTCATGCTCGACGGCGAGAGCGTGGTGAGCTCCTTCTGCATACGGTCGGCGATACCGGGGAACATGGTAGTTCCACCGGAGAGGACGACGTTGCCGTACAGGTCGCGACGGATATCGAGATCGCACTTGAAGATGGAGTTGAAGCTAGAGGCAGGATCCGTCAGCGCTGAACTCTCACGGAGTCACAACAGTGTGCTTACGTGGTCTCGTGAATACCGGCAGCCTCAAGACCGAGGAAGGCAGGTTGGAAGAGCGCCTCGGGGGCACGGAACCGCTCGTTGCCGATGGTGATGACCTGACCGTCGGGAAGTTCGTAGCTCTTCTCCAGCGCGGAGGACTGCGCAGCGGTCTGAAGCTCCTGCTCGAAGTCGAGCGCGACGTAGCAGAGCTTCTCCTTGATATCACGGACGATTTCACGCTCGGCCGTGGTGGTGAAGGGGTAGCCACGCTCCATGAGGTTCTTGATCAGGAAGTCCGTGAGGTCACGGCCGGCAAGATCGAGACGGAGGATGGCGTGCGGGAGCGCGAAACCTTCGTAGATGGGCACGGTGTGGGTAACACCGTCACCGGAGTCGAGCACGATACCCGTGGTACGACCGGACGCGTACAGGGAGAGCACGGCCTGGATCGCAACGTAGAACGCGGGTGCATTGAACGTCTCGAACATGATCTGGGTCATCTTCTCTCGGTTGGCCTTGGGGTTGAGAGGAGCCTCGGTGAGGAGGACGGGGTGCTCTTCCGGCGCGACACGCAACTCGTTGTAGAAGGTGTGGTGCCAGATCTTCTCCATGTCGTCCCAGTTAGTGACGATACCGTGCTCAATCGGGTACTTGAGCGTGAGGATACCACGCTTGGACTGAGCCTCGTCACTGCATTCGACCGTTAGCATGATGCTGTGCAGCCGGGCAATCATCACGACTTACCCCACGTAGGAGTCCTTCTGACCCATGCCGACCATGACACCCTGATGACGGGGACGGCCGACAATTGAGCTAGTTGACTGGTCAGTACGGGCAGGGAGGTCTAGGTGAAGAGGCTTACGGGAAGACGGCACGAGGTGCGTCGTCACCTAGGGCAAGGTCTCAGATTGGGCACCATCTATTGAACTGTGAAATTCCTACCAGCAACTGCATACGAAGTCAGCAACCGTCCAATCAAGGGTGCGTAGTCAGAGACACTCACAGCCAGCCTTGCACATTCCGGAACCATTGTCAATCACCTGGCCGTCACGACGTCAGTAGCGCGCTACAACAAGGACGCGCGCGCAACGTACGAGAGCAGCGACCTCGTCCTCCATGGTTTTGGATTAGTCGTTACGGTACGTAGAGAAGAGAAAGGTGTCGTAGACGAGCTGTCCGCGATTGGCCGACACGTTGCGCGATCATCAAAGCAACGTCGCATGCGTAGATGGCGATAGCGCGCATCAGCAATGTCGTTGAGAGGAGGGCAGAGGACGGGGCATAATCGTTAGCAACGTCGATGACAGCGGGCAACGACACAGGAGCGAGCGGGTGTACACACCTTCGGCGTTGAGCTCGGCGTTGGGTTTGGGCAGAGGGTAATGATGCGAACAGCGAGGGCGGTCGGTTATCGATGGCTTTAGGGCAGGCCTGCTGCGCGCTCCAAACTCCGGGACAGCCACCCGCTGGCCATACTCTCGACCTCTGTCTGATCTCCCTCGGTGAATACAGTTCCAGTATATATCGACCACGTCTTGCGCTCATTCTGTATTCACTCAACTCCAGTGAGGGCTGGTGTGGCCCTACATGGTCTCTGGTCTCGATCGTATGGACGTCCATCCTTCATCCGACGCAGGTATATCGGCACTTTGTGGCTGCGAGTACATATCGGAGCGCAAACCAATCCCATCGACAGTTCCGCACGGGAGACTGGTGACCCCTTCCCGGCTTCGGGAAATACCTAAGATCGCATATTATCTGTTACGCAGACCCTCGAAACGGCAGGCAGGCCGTTGTCTTGCCGTGCTTGACAATGGACCTTAGATTGGCAGAACATCATGTCAACCAGTCAAGCTCATCAGGCTTGGATGTGCTCATGGAACAATATCTATGGACCTCGTGAACGTAACTCTGGGATATCAAGGCAAGAATTGTGGGCGGGTTATCACCAACATCTTGCTTCGGAGTCTCCTAGGTCAGCTCAAGTCCTATCTGGTCCTCTTGATCTTCCTCGTATACCGACAAAGCCATCAGATATTGGAAGCATGGAGACCATTGGACCAGGTATGATTCATTCGGTAATACTCTGCGATTCGCGTTCATATACATGTGCATAGTATCCTCCACAGAACTCCAATCCCAGCAACCGTGATGTGCAGCGATCTGTGATGTACTTGGGTAAGTTGCTTTCGCTGTCATGCCGCACGATTATCTGCACCTTCAGGCTGTAAGCCGCCATCTTCCTCTCTTGTGCAGACATATCAGCTTCTACATCGCGCTTTTGTATGCAAGCACCGTCTTACCTTATCTAGCAGGAGCAGGTGGCACTGCAAGTGGGCGTAACGGCCGGGGCTGCGCCGGTGAGAGGGACGATAAAGACGGCCTTCGGAACCGCGGTTGCGCCGCCGCAGTTGCAGCCGCATGTGGCGTCGGGGCCGAAGTGGACGGTGATCGTCGGCCCGAGGGCGATAGGCGTAGGGGCCGGCGCGGGGTTGGCAGCGACGAAGCCCATGACGGCAAAGAGAACAGCGGTGTAAGAGAGGAACTGCATCGTGACCGATGAGAGGGGATTGTGAGTGATTGCTGGGATGGCTAGACTGCGTTTGCTGAAGCTCCTCTGGATATCCGCCCTCTTTTTATACTTGCCAGTGACCTCGCCTTACACCCACGGACCGCTGTTTGTGCCTGCGTTCTGTTGGTATCTTCGGACTCTATGCTCGTGGGATGTATCAGCCTTACCATTCATTCGACACGCGGTCGTTGCTCAGCGTGCTCCCCGTCACCAAAGGGAAAGGAACAACGTGGAGGAAGCGTTGCTCTGACAGGAGGTGAGTATCGAGACCCATGTTCCTTGGACTGCGAACACAACCAACTGGTTGGCGTTGGGTGGAATTTTCACGTTATCGTTCGTAGAAAGGTTCTTCTCGGCGAAAACTCCGATGCAAGCTTTTTTGCTCGTGGGGTACTGATGATAGACACCCCTCTGTCGTGCCCTTGGCGCTACATCGGCATGTCACCTCGTCTGTCAAACTACAGTTTGCCGATTGCTTAACGGCCGACACATGGAAATAAGGATCACGAGTGAGAGTTGGGCGGTCCCCGTTGACACGGGAGAGAGAGCGCTGATATGGAGTCCATGGACCCGCTCGTCACGGCTGTCATGACGCTCTGGCTTACCGGGAAGGATCAAAAAGAGAGCGTATATCAAGCGCTACGACGTATTCTTGCATGTCTGTCTCTTCAATCTCGTACAGCAACGATGGTATATTGAGCCTCAGTACAGTGCACGGAGAGAGTTTGCAACACAGACGATCCAGTGCAGTGCAAATGCATGCATCAAGCACACCGCGCTATCAACCATGAACCACCTGTTAGTGATAGCATTGGTATGCTTCCTGATCTCGCATACGCTCAACTTCGCGAGTCTGACAGACGGTGCGAGACCAAGAACCATTCGAAATGCTGAGTGCGCACGGCTGCTGCCTACAATCATCTTCTATCTCGTTCATAATCGCATTCAGGCACACCCCGGTGCAAAAAAGGTAACGTATGACCCATACTCTGCTGTATCTGCGGCCGTCGAAGCAACAAAGAAGCCATGATGTTTTTATGTCCGTGTATACGCGGCAAAACAAGCCGGTGATCGCATTGTATACGTACCGGAGTCTTGAATTCTCGTGCGAACGTGAACGTTCTACCGTAGCATCGAAGTAGCAAGGTTTGTCTCGGCTAGATCGCTATAAACTCCTATGGGTCAATAGGGTGTATCTGCAGCACAGGCAAGGTGGGTGGAACTTTTACAGCTACATTCAGAACGATAGACGAACGCGCCCGCGTTCGGTTTGTGTGCCGTAGCCGCCGAGCTCCACCTTTCCCATATATGGAAAGGGGCTCTTCTCATGATTTTGGTGCTCTGCGTCCATGCTCATTCGAAAAATCAAGCATCAAATCGACAGAGCCCGGTCAATTCATGAACACAGCGCGATTTAAGGCAACTATTGTTCGAGTAGAGGCGTGCAGCCAGTAAACAAAACATAGCCGATAGTCGTCTGTACATGCGGAGGTTCACAACCGCCGCTTCTGAGCCCCAATCGTTGCTTCCATTGGAGTCCGGCAGGCTACGGCACACGAACCGAACGTGGACGGATTCGTCTATCGTTCTGAGTGTAGCTGTACCATGCACTGCAAATTTTGGCGGGGCTCCCCGCAGACATCTTTGACTACTGCGGAGAACTTTTACCACCACTCTAGTAAGCGCGCTCCGTCGTATGTACGTTCGCGCCGTAAGTACGCAAAACCAATTATCCCGTTTACCTCCGAATTCCCCGTCAACGGTTAGCATCATCACGAGATCGGAAGAATCGACTGTACTGACCGAGTGCCGAGATATACACAAGCTACTTTGCCCCGGCACGATATCTCTTGATCCTCAGAATCAAAGCACACGTCTCGGGCAGACGTCGGAACTTCATGGAGTTAACTTCACTCTCACCCGTTGATACAGTCGCAATGGTCCGGTTGATGTGCAGTCTCTTTAGTAGGTTGCAATCCCCACAAAGCCTACATACCGTAGTCTTCAGCGCGTGTCTACGTCCATCGACGGCTTGAGCGCTACAAGCCGTCGGGGGAGCTACCGCGTTTTCCCCAAGTCAGAAATATATTCAAGGGAATGGCATCGTTCTCAACACAAAATCCCGATGGCGAAGGCTCCACGGACATTGCGATGTAACTGAGAGTAAAGGGAGTTTGGGCGTGAGAACGATAAGCAACCAGCCTTCTCTCTAACCACGCGCTGGCGTACTTCTTCAACACCTCCGCAATCTTCAACTGCAAAGTTTCATGGCATCCGCAACGTCCCTACCACACGAGCTCTTAAATGACATTTTTGAGCGGGCTGCTGCAACGGATCGTCGAGCGGCCCACAATCTCTGCCTCGTTTCGTCCTGGACCAGACAAATCGCAGAGCGCAGCCTGTACACAGTGATCATAGCAGATATCCATAAGCGAGGAAACCTCGGCCTTATCATACACTGGATGGCGGTGATTGCAGAGGGTGGACGGGATTCGGCGATCGCGAGGACGAGGGCCGGTTATGTTCGTGAAATATGGGTAGAGTCGTGGTTCGGGACCGGAGGGAATCTCGTGAATCACCTGCACGAAACCCATCTGGACGAGCCGCTCTTAGCGAATCTGCTCTTGCTATTCCCCAGCTTGCGTTCTGTCGGTTGCACCCAGCGCCCCGGTGCCAGTCGCCTACGCACGGAACTTCAGTCATTTGCTTCCCGCGTCGCGGGGACACACGAGCAAAGCGAGTCTGCTACACGGACCCGGAGGAAGGAACTTCACCTCACGGTCGATTTCAGACCGGTGTCTCTTCATCGCTACTCACTCGCCACTACTACCTCGGTCGATGCGATCACTCACTTGCGCCTCTATCACTTGGCAGAAGACCGATCACCAAGCTCGATGTTGGCCTCGTATCGAAGCCTGACCCATCTCTCCATGACCGTTGCCACCAGTGAATGGCATGGACGAGCACACTCCCCCACGGCACCAACGTTCGCCCATTTGAAGATGCATGTGGTGGAATTACGCTCGGAAGGCTCGGACTCAGAGAACGAAAGATACCTCAGAGAGATCAAGAAGCATCGCGCGCGCGGTTACCCGATGTTTACGGCGATGCGGACGGGGTCGTTGCGCGACGATTGGGAAAGAGAGGCGTTTGAGGGCGACAGCATCTGGAAGCGGGCACGAGATTTCACGAGCGCATTGGAGCGCCGGGACTGGGAGCTTGCTCACAACTAGGACCATGGACGAAGTCCATACAAGTAGGCGGACGTAGCGATCCCTGACAATCAGTGGCATGCATATGACGATATGTCTGCCAGTGCATAGATGCATCTCACCCTCGTGTCGAATGACAAGCATTGTTGCGCTCAGCAGAACGCACTCTACATAGCCTGCTTCGGCAATGATGATGTACGGAAGTTTCTGGTTCCGACTCCCATGAGTACTGCAAGGGAGAAGTTGGCCGTGTTCGTGTGAAAATGAAATATTTGACAAGGCACTCTGTGCTCACCGCATCGTGTATTCCAGTTTCCACATAGCTCAGCTCGATGGTGGCATCTCTCCCGAACGAAATCCTAATCGACATAATGCAAAAGGCCGCTGCGATAGACCGCCGAACAGCCTACAATCTTTGCCTTGTTTCGTCGTGGACGAGACGGATCGCAGAGTGCCACCTGTACGCGGTGATCATCGCAAACGACCACGACAAGCCAAGCGCGGGCCTCATCAGACGTTGGATAGCAGATATCATGGAGGGTGGACGGAAGGGCGCGATCGCGAGAACGCGAGCTGGCCATGTCCGTCAACTATGGATAGATTCGTTTTACCCGAGCGGAGCGAACCCCGCGTATCGTCTGCACGAACTCTACCTACACGAGCCGTTCTTATCGAGCCGACTCCTGCTATTCCCGAACCTGGAGTCGATCGGTTGGGCACAGCGCCGTAATGCTATCTGGCTGTGGAAGGAAATCGCGGCCTTCGCTTCACGCCTGCCCGCAGAGACGACTGAGAAAGACGAGACCCTCGCAAGAACGCGAAGAAAGGAGCTTCACGTTACAGTCGACTTCAAAGCGGTTTCTCTTCACCACTACTCGCCCATTACTCCTACCTCCGTCGACGCGATCACTCACCTGCGCATCCACCACTTGACAGAGTACCTAGCGCCGAACTCGGTGTTGGCCACGTACCGAAGTCTGACTCATCTCTCTATGGCCACGCGCGCAGCTACCGGCGAGTTGCTCGTTAACTCGCACTCGCTCGCGGCTCCAACATTCGCCCACTTGAAAATGCATGTAATCGAATTGCCTCAGAAAGGTTCGGGGTCCCAGGGTCAGGAATGTCTGAGAGAAATCAAGATGCAACGTGCCCGCGGCTACCCGATATTCGCTGTCATGCAGATGGCGTCACTGCATGATGACTGGGAAAGAGAGGCGTCTGGGGGCGACAGCATTTGGCAGCGAGCACGGACTTTCGCGAGCGCGCTAGAGCGCCAGAACTGGGAGTACGACTTCGACAACCCGCAAGCAGCGTCATAAGCGGCTGTATGAATATCTTGCCTTCTTGCAGACATGGGTTCTGTACGGTAGGATGTGAACATAAATTGGTAGTGATGATCCGACCATTAACACAGCCAACAAAGCCTGATATGTCCGATGTTGTACAGTAGCGATAGCGGTGATGAGACTGCGATACATAAGAAGGAACGCAGGAAATGAATTAGTCCATGTCGTTAGAACGAACCGAAGGTATCAATGCGAAGAGTACCAGGGCCCGCCGAGGATGACACGCCGACCATCGCGCCAGCAAGCGATGTTGAGCAGGAGGATGACTCCGCCGCAGATGGCGCCTGCAAGGAAGCTCGCGGAGAGCTTGAGAGGGAGGCTGGAGAGCATGTTGTTATTGGCGTGAAAGACGCTGGAGGGGTCGCGCGAGGCGTGGATACAGAGGGTGGAGCCGAGCGCGAGGAGGGCAAGGTCTGTGTTGTACTGTCAATTCGGCATTCGATAGCGCAAGATTGGAGACAACATATGCGTACCGAAGAGGAGCCAGAGGAGCCATGATAAGTCGGCTTGGAAAAACCACGCGTTGGGATATGCCTTGGCGTAGGAGCCCAGCCAGTAGAGACTGAAGGACACCGGATCAGAAAAATATGACTGGCAATATCTTGAATGGTGCTTACAGCAGCCCAAGAAGGGCCGCAAGACAGAACTCGGCGTCCAACGGCCAGTGCGATCCGCATCCTAGAACGCGGCAGATTGTCGAACACGCAAAGAAGCAGAAAGCACCGGAAGCTAGAGTACGAAACGGCGTCCATATGGGAACGGGGCGGCGCCTGATGAGATAGCCTTCGTCAGCATAATCGCAATCTGGCCACGGGGAGCCTAGCTGGCTTACTCGGGCACCCTCCCAGAGTCAAGTTCGATCTTCATCCTTCCGGCCTGCGGATAAGAGGGGGGTTCGCCATAGTCTACCAGACGTTGACGCAACCTGTCATCGTGTCGAACAGACATGTGAGCAGTTGGGCGGTACAAGTTCCAACGGACAGACCTCTCGGCATCTTCATGCCCGCTTCTGTGCATACCAGCACTCGAAGGCCGCAAGTCATGCCAGACAAAGTGGTGAGACACGACAGCAGAGGGCCGGCCGTTCCATGGGAACCCGGAGTGGGCTCGGAGGCAATGCGTCGTGAGTTCAGGTTGATCGGTGCGACGCGGTGTGCTGAATATAGTCACGGGCGCTTATACAGTTAAGCGCCATTGGCACAGCCACCAATATGATGAAGGCCACGCGCCGCGACGCGTTTTAGGGTTTTCGGCGCGTTACGCGATGGAGCAAAACTCAGACCACAACTTCAACTCGGACGCTCAATCTCAGCTGCACCTATTTCTCTCTAGCTCGTTTACTCAAGCTTCTAAGCGAACATTAGTGTATCTCCGACGAATCAGAGGTTCGTTGTCGCTTTGTCATGTAGTAACGAGCACGTTCGGAACGATACACCCCTATCCCAGGTGTGAGACATGTCGGCGGTTGAAACGATGGCATCCTCAACTTCGAAGCCAATCGTTTTACTCCTGTGCCTCGCGAAGCAGCCGTACTTCGAGGAGATGTATGCGCACATGCTGGCTGCATTGCACGCCAGAGCCACCCTCGTCGAAGCCTGCACCGAGGAAGAGGCCGTGATACGCCTCAGCAAACCCAGCAACCTCACAGCGGTCTTGGTGACTGATGCCGCTGTGACGTCCTCGAAGCATAAGAAGACGCTGGATTCTCTCGTGCAGTACGCGAAGACCGGCGGAGGCACCGTCGTGTACGGCTGCATGTTCAGTTCCTTCGTGCGCCCTAACGACATGGACTCCATGTTCCAGAACGCGTGGGGCTTACGCTGGATTAAAGATGAATACGAGAGATGCAACTATCGTATGACGCGCCAGGAGATCCCGGGACTGAGCAAATATGGCATGGCACCTGAGTACAGCATGAAAGCCGTACAGCTCGCGGGACCCGATCTCAACTCATCCAACGTGGTGTATGACGGATGCGAAGATCCGGATAATGCACCGGTAGCGTTTGCAACAGTCGGAAAGGGATACGTCGGGTATATTGGCGACGTGAACGCCGAGGAAGAGACCACTGCTGTGGTCCTCGCGCTGTGCCATTTGAACCGGTCTGACGTGCGCCCTCACCTCATGCCTTTCCGATATATGTTAACTTCGACTCAACCAGCCTCTTGCATCGCAATCGCAACCAACGATCGTGGTCCTTGCACTGTTGAAGGAAACCTACCTCGATCACCTCTTCCAACCCATGATCACTTGCATATCGGCGCAGGCCTCCGTTCAGCGGGTTGACTGTGTTAACCAAGCGAAGGAACTGCTAGCTAAGCCCGCTCCTGAGCGCCCTTCCGCCGTCCTCGTCATCGACGCCGCAATCTGCGACGACGAATACCACGGCGTCTTGGAAGCGCTGATCGACTTCGCTAAGCAGGGCGGCACCGTCGTCCTCTCTGGAAACTTTGGCAACAACTTCCCCTGGCCCAAGACACGCTCGGTCTTCTTCGAGCAATGGGGCTTAGGCTGGGAGCCCGCGAGCTACACGTCGACCGACGTAGTCCTTGCATCAATCGACACCGTGCCGGGTATAGACACGCGGGGCCTGGCGTCGTCGTACAACGTCAAGGCGCTTTACCTCTCGAACGTCGACCCTTGTGCACGCGTGTACACCCCGCGCTTCTCTCAAGTGCACTTAGATACGTCGCAGACCCCCGTCGCCTTCACCCGGATTAAAGAGGGCTATCTTGGATATACGGGCGACGTCAACGCTGGTGACGCGACGACGAAGGTCGTCTTGCGAATGCTTCGCCTGTCACTGGATGGCTTCGATGACATTGTAGCCAATGCGCGGGAAGGCGCCCATGGTAGCACTACCTGCAAGCGGCACCCATCCCCTCCAGCCGCGAATGTTCATGATCAGGCTGCCCTAGGACCGAGTCAAATTCAACCGAGTGCACAAGCATCGAAGCTTCAAGTGGACGTACGTATGTCTCACAAGAGTGTGTAGCAGCCCTTTTGACGGGTTTCCGAACAGAATATGAAATCGCGGGCCAAGCCGACAGTTGTCGTTCTCGCGTTGATGCAGGAGGACTATCTGAACGACCTCTTCGGTTGGATGATGAATGCTATTGCTAAACATGCGACTGTCATCCGCGTCGAGTCTGCCAGCAAAGCCAAACAGCTCATCACGGCCCCCGTTTCTGAACGCCCGGACGCGATCTATGCCATTGATGCGGGCGTGTCCAAAGCCAAAAGCAACAAACTCCTCAAGCACCTCATCACGTACTGCAAGGAAGGCGGCACCGTCGTTCTTGGAGGCAATTTCACGAATCACTTCTCGTTGGGTGAAGAGGGTACCAAGTTCTTCGCCAAATGGGGTGTCGCGTGGGAGCCCGGTTCGTATCACCGCACGACCGTCTACCTGAATCCCAACGGGATCCAAGGCTTGGACACCCGCGGACTAGAGCCAAGCTTCAGCATCAAGGCGTTATACCTCGCTAATGTCGACCCGAACGCGCGCGTGTACAGCCCGTCGGCGCAGTCGCGCATGCAGTCACACGTGTTCGCGCCGGCCTCCGTCGACACCGCGCAGACGCCGGCCGCCTTTACGCGTCTAGGCGAGGGATACCTCGGGTACGTGGGAGACGTGAACGCAGAGGATGCGGCGACCAAGGTGATTTTGCGCATGCTGCATTTGTCTCTGGAAGGCATTGGGGAGAATACATACGATAGCGTCGTCGGTTGGACCATCAGCCCGGACGGGAGCATGGTCCCGCTCAGGGCGAGCGAGGCGGGCCATGTCCACGGGCCCGACTGCAACCCCGAAAATCACGTCTTTTCCCTTGCGCAAGGGACCCCGGGCCATCTATCTATGCCGGCGCCGGCCTCGAGCGCGCAGCAATCTCGGCCTGTGGGCGGACCGAGTGCCTCCTCGGGCTCTTCCCGTCCCAGACGTCCGCGAGAGGCCGAGGTGGAGGCCCGCGCGGAGAAACGTCAAGCGGTGCTGAAGAGAAAGAACGCAGAAGGGGCCAAGCTGAAGGAACAGGCAAGTTTCTGGCCATATCCGTCTGCGTAAGGTTTGTGGCTGATCCATTCATGAAGGGTAATGAGCTCTACAAGAAGGGTGACTGGGCTGGTGCAATTGCGGCGTATCGGAAAGCGGTGCAGATGGACGGTCCTCGGCCTGTATACTTGACGAACATGGCCGCCGCATATCTCAAGCAGGAAAAGTGAGCCTTGGCCAATGCAGGACTCCGGCGAAACTGACACAGTTCGGTAGTTACGTCTTGACGGAACGATGCACCGACAAGACTCTGCTTCATGAACCGAGGTTGTTGAAAGCTAGGTACCGACGCGGAATTGCTCGCAAGGGTCTAGGAATGGTTAAAGGAGCGATGCGCGGTACGAGTCCCTCGTTTGGGCAGTCAGTCAATCTGAATTGTTTGAGTTTCTCAGATTTCGAGCTATGCCTGGAGCAAGACCCCAAATGTATGGAAGCCAAACATGAGCTGGCTGATGCCCGGAAACTCTTCGAAAGCGGTGACTACGACAGCGAAAGTGACCCCGAAGATCCAATCTACGACTCTGAGCTTGGTTATACCTCCGACTCTTCCGATTTTCGGCATGAAGGCAACGGCACCCCCTGCAAGTTCTACAATCACAATGGATGCAAAAAGGGCGCCAAGAAGTGTCCTTTCAAGCACGGACCAGATAATCGGAGCATGCGCGACGATCTGTACGTGCCTCACCGTCCAAACAGCAAATGCTGACCGCGAACCGCACAACAGCGGTCGCAACGTGTGTCTCTTTTACCTCCTCGGAGACTGCAAATTCGACGACGAAGATTGCTTCTATGCTCACTCAAAGCTATACTTGCCTCCCTCCGGCTGGTGGAACAAGCCGGAGAAAATTGAGCAGTATTTGGAGATGCTCGACATGGCATATGAATTCTCTGGCACCACGCCAGGTCAAATGATGGACGGGTTTCTAGGCCGCATGCTCAACGGAGACCTTCGCGATAACGGCAAAAAATTCATCGAGTCACTGGACGACGAGACGAACTTCACCGATTTGGGGCCTAGTCCTGATATGAGCCGCAACAAGCCCAGGAAAAAGGGGGGGAAGCCGAAGAAGGGGAAAGGCAAAGGTGTTCGGCCTCGGGATCCCTCACTGGAGCGCGAAGTTGAGGAACGGCAGCGCAATTGCGGCTTCACCGACGACGAAGTTTACGAACTGGCTCTGCAGGGGGTTAAGCCATGGGATGATGATGCATGGGTACGCCTAATCATCAAGATCTGCATCCCACCTAATTAATTCGCCAGGATGTTTTGGACGTCCTCAACGGTAACTTTTAACTGCTTCGCGTGAGGCCACAAACTTCCATAGGCTACTAAGATTAGAGCACAAGGAATCGAAGATAGGACTACTTGAGTGCTTGGACAGGGTTAGCAAGTGCTCACGAAATTCGGAGTTCGGATATTTTTAGACCTCTGCTAATACTTATGTTATTACATGACGGTAATTTTGCGATTCTATCGCGTCTACCCAAAGCAAAGGAGTGTCCCCGGTATAATATAGACAAACAGCAAATTACGAACGAACGACGGTGTATGTACTTTTCCTCACTGCCCACCTTCGTCCGGATACAGCTCTTGAGCAATACGCGCCGCCTCCGCGTCGTCCTCGCCTAACGGACCTGCAGGTTTGCCCTGCGCAGGTACCTCCGGTGCCTCGGCCTCAGCCTTGACGACGGGAGGCGCGGGTTGGTCGACCACCGGCGACGGTTGCGTCTCTGGTTCGGCCGCCTTGGGGGGCGCCGTCTCCGCTTCGGCTTCGGGAACCGCCTTCTTCTCTTCTGGTTCGTCGTCCGCTTTCGCGGCCGGCTCGGCGGGCGCGGGCGGATCCGAGCTAATCTCGTCGGACTGCGGCGGAGGAGGCACCTGCTGCCCCGGCGGCGGCGGGGCGCTCTTGATGTCGCGCACGGGCTCCTGCGCAAAAGCGTCGCGGCCCGGTTCGGGCGCTTGCATGATGACGCTGCTCGTGTGCTCGGCGTCTTGCACGGGCTTGTTGTTGACGACAGCGGCGCCGCGGCCGCCTTGAGGTCGCACGGGTACCGCAGACCTGGCAGGAGTAGCCAAGTTTGCGTAGCCAGAGTACTGTAGGGACGGTCAAGTTGCATAAGGCACGTGGGGATACGAGGGGGCTCACGTCATCCAAGAAATCATTGCTATAATGAAGGAACGATGGTCAGCTTCGACAAAGGCGGGGAGAGTGTGACATACCACGAGAAATCCCAGGTCTTAAGCCATTTGGCGTCCTGGCACTCCTTCTTGGTCCACGCGCTGCCGTATGTCAGCGGGCTAAAGTGTGAGAAGGTGGCGATGGCGATGGCGATCAGGATAGCGGCAATTCCGAACCGCACTCGCGCTTTGAGCGTCGATGTCGCGAGGTCGAACACGGAGCAACACAGTAAAATGGCAAAGTAAAGGGCAGGGAGGTAGTGGTGCAAGAACAGCTGGCGGTTCATGAGGTAGAAGGGAAGGTAGTGCAGACACCAGCCCATGAAGAGGAAACCACAGAGGTGATCGTACTTGACCACTTTGGCTGTAACGCGACCGTCGTCAGAATACACTTCGGGTAAGGGAGGAAAATGCATACTATTATCGAAGTCCCGGAATCCGCGTTTTTCACGTAGAATGAGGAGACCGCGAGCACTGGCGTAGATAAGAACGGCGAGCGTGCTCATCCACCAGATGATGGGGTTACCGATGAGGTAAATCTGGCGGTGGTCCTTCACCCAAAAGTTCTGTGATAACCGGTGATAAGCGAAGAGGGGACGAGAGTGGACGAGGTATACGAACGATGCCTCGGAGCAAACGTGGCCACGCATCCGGTCGCGAGTCGTATGCGTGGCGATCGGTTAAGCCTGCATTGGTCCTCCACATTACTTGCTGGAGCTCGATGAACTTGCCGAAGAAGCCCGGGAGCTTGTAGTTGACCTTAGGCGCGTTTTGCGGTACTGTGACAACTCAACGTATCAGCGCTGCCCACTCAGAATAGAACGGAACGATAGATAGCGTTGACTTACACATCTGGTGGGTATTCGTCTCGACATACCACAGCGAGTTCTCCCGGACCGCATTCTTGTTGCACGTCACCTCCTGCTGCTCGAAGCCCCACTCAGGCAGCTTGACCTTGTGCGAAAACAGATAACAGCCACTCAGAGCGTGCTTGAGCTTGAACTGCGTGCGCAGCGTCCTCAGCCGCTTCCAGCTCTCGCGGTCGCCGCCGGAGCCATGATCGATTTCGAGGATCCAGTCGTCGTTCATGTCCCCGGGGAAGCCTTTCATCCCGTACGCGCTGACCTCGTTCTGGAAGTCGACGTCGGAGATCGGCGGACGAATCTCGTGCGAGTGCAGGCGCTTCTCGGTGTTGACGTGCTGGAGCTTGATCCGCATCCCGTCCGTCACGGGCCGGATGGGGTCCGTCTCCCAGTTGAAGAAGTGGTCGTCTAGCACGGTCGCGTTCTCGACCCTCCAGTTGTTGTTGTCGTCGCGGTGCGGGTAGAGAGTGACTTGTTGCTCTGTGAAGGGCTCAACAGATGAGATGGGGGAAAGAGTGCATGTTATGGACAGGACAGGACGAACGTTTACTTCCGCCGGGGTAGGTGTGCGGATGAGAGTGAAGATAGCCGCCTTGGGTGTTAACATGCCGGATGCTCACAACAGAGCCCAGAGCAACGTCTGTATGGGAATGGAAGTCAACGCTATGTTCTCCTACATCACAACAGGTTGGCTTACCCGCGTAGGTATCGGCCATGCCCTTGCCACCGAGCGTATGCTGGAATTCCGAGCTCATGAATCCGTCGCCATCGCCCGAGTTCTCCAGGATCAAGAAATGGATCTCGAACATGGCCATATAGAACAGTATCGGTACCACGATCAAGCACAGCGCCCGAGCCATGAAATGGCGCATGAGTAACCTGGGCGATACCCTCAGGTCGCCGAGCAGAAGCCAGAGTTGCTTTATGGTGCTCAGGCCGACGGTCGCGACCGTGAAAAGGCCGACCCACTTGCAGCTCGAGACGGCGCCGAGGCTGAGGCCGGATAGCGCGAGCCACGTCCACCAGCCGGTCGTGAACGCCTTGTGCTTGTCCTCGTTACAAAAACCGGTCCAGAGGAGGACGGTAAGCGCGGTGAAAAAGACGAGGGGGGAGTCGAGGAGGATGAAGCGTGACTGCGTCGCGAGCGCGTTCTCGAAGGTGACGAAGAGCGCTGCCATGAGCGCGGTCGTGGCGCGGCAGTCAAGCGCGCGAAGGGTGATGTAGGCGATGGGGACCGTGGCGACGCCAAGAACGGCGGGGACCATGCGCATGGCGACGTAAGGAACGTGGTCATAGACTCTGTAAATCACGAAAGCGTCAGCTGGGTCGCGTGGTTGTTGGAAATGAAGTGCTTACTTGGCTATATCTTTGAAGTCAAAGTTTCCGTCGTAACCGAAAACGAATGCAGCCAGTGTTATGAGAAGTTTAGCCAGGGGCGGGTGCACGTCCACGAAGTATTGCGTCTTGATATACTTGGACGCGAACTTGCCGAAGTGCACTTCGTCGAACCTGCATTACGAAACATTCAGAATCGTCAGATGTTTTTGAACGTAGATATTGATATGCGTACACCACGCTATTAGGCCGTGATAACCTGAAAAGCCGCACAGCAGCCGCGACGAGCGTGATGAACACGAGAAGTTTCCATTCGCCGCTCGTCATCCGTATGCCGCCTGCAGGAAACGCCTTCTTTTGCCCCGGCCCAAGCCCTAGCGACGCAGCCGCTCGTCGCTCATCAGCGTCAAGATGGTCCTGCTTGCGGTGGGGAAAGCGTTGGGATGTGTGGCCTAGCGGCGGCGAGGCCGGCCTGCGCGCCCTCATGGACATCGTAGATTCTACTATCCTAGGATCTCTCCTTGAGGACGTGGTGCCGTTTGGTACAGATGTCGCCTAGAATTTTGTCGTGAACGCCGTGGTTGGAAGGAAAGTGCAGCCTTGGTCGACGTGTCGCCGTCGGAGGCGCAGCACAGTGGTGATGCGCCGTGCAGGGGGATTGCCGAATGATGCACAGCACGGCCACCCCCTGAGCTACGAAAACGAATTCTACCCAAATTGTTGCCATTGACCGGCGCCTTCACACGTCCGCTGATGATGAAGCAACTGAAAGGCACAGCCCTCAAGCGGGTACGTAGCTAGTATATAAGAGCGAGTTCTTGGCGCACGATGCAGTTAAACCCGCTCGCACTTGATAACCTGGAACATAGGATATCCAGCCTGACAAAGGTGAGCCGTAGTTGTGCACAACTGGAAGGCTGCGACGATTGTGTGGATGAGTGCTTACCCTACTTCGCTACAGCGGTTCAATAATCATGACAGACAGTGATGGATTCGCATCCAATTCAGTGACCCAGTGCGAGTGTGCGGCCGGTATGTTCTCCGAACTTCATCTGTATAAAGTTTGGATTTACGTATGCATTGATGCCGACAGTCCCTCCTCCGACACCACTCGGATGCTGCGCCGAAGGTCTGCGATTTTTTGAACAGTATATTCGGGACAGCGACCTCGAGGCAGCGCAGAAGAGCATCGATATTTACCAATCACTTCTACTGGTCACCGAAGACGGGAAAACGCCACCTCCTGAACAATATCCACGTCAAGTACACGCCGATTTCGAGGAGCCATCCCACGTTCGGATAAAACGGTATCACGCACTTATATATCTGGCCCGCATACTGCACCACCGTTATTTATTTACCTCGGATATCAGCGATATACAGTCTGCTCTGCGGCACAGCCAAGCCGCTCTGGAAACATGTCGTGCGGAGCGAATATCTTGCCCCACTATTTTGATACTGCACGCCGATGTCCTTCACAGCTTCACCCAGATTGACCATCCAGCTGACACGTCATATCACCATACTGCTTATCGAGACATCGAAGCACTCTATCGAGATGCCGTCCTCTTATGTGGCATCGGACATCCGTTGCGAGCATCTGCATATCGTGGCCTTGCAAAGGTGCTAAGGGGTTATTTCGGCGCAACCATGGATGGCACTTTCATCAACGAAGCTGTGGAATTGCAACGACAAGCACTGGACGCGATATCGGCGGAAGACCCTAGCAAACACCTGCATCTGCACTCTCTAGGCTGGTACTTGTTTACTCGACACGACTATTCGGGAGAGTCTCGAGATATGGATGAAGCCTGTCGTGTCATTGCTGATGCGACCCAACTCTGCCCTCCGTTGCATATTGAAAGACCAAACCTGGTGTCCACTGTACTTTCTCTCACCTATCGTCGATCCTACCAATCCGGCAGGGTTGATAACCGTCTCAACGAGGACATATGCCTTGGGCGAAAAACTATCAATGCATGTCCTCAGAATAGCGCTGCACGGAGGCATGTGATGGATGCCACAGCAACTCTCCTCTATCTGCGGTATCAGCTTACGGGATCGCCAGAAGAAAATGATCTGGAGGAGATGGTCGCAATGTGGCGAGAAATCTATCATCTACAGCAGTCACACATCGGTGGTCAATCAACGTGGCTTCCGCTGTTCCGTTTGTCGGTGGGGTTGTACATGCAATTTGTTCGATACGGCAGACACAACGATCTGGAAGAGGCAATCCAGACGAGCCGTCAGGCTGCAGAGCTTCTGCACAATCATCCTCGACAATCGCATCCTGCCCGCATCCTAGCGGAAATGTTGGTTCTCCGGTTCGCAGAGACCGGTGATATCGCCAACTTGACCGAAGCACTTCAATGGGATCGTCGTGTCATGAAGTTGATTTCTCCTACCGATGCATCCTTCCCCACAACCGTTGTCACTATGATATCACACTTGTGCACCCGATTCGAGTCTCTCGGTACCACGAAAGACCTGGAGGAAGCCATACCACGCGCGGAGGAGTTGCTAAATTCATTGTCTTCGGAGCATGCCAATACACTGGATGCAATATACGTGCTTTCGAAGACACTCCTTCTTCGTGGTCGCCATGTTAACGATCTCGCAGACATTGATCGGGCCATTGCCGTGCTGGAACCGGTTGCAGATACCGTGTCACATCGCCCAAATCGTCTGGGATGCCTCCGTACCCTTGCTGCTTGCCATTTGACGCGATTTCGCCTGGCTCACAACGACCATGACGCACTTCATGCATTAGAGATCATGGTCACTTACTCATCGACGGTGCGTGTAGGTTATAGAGAGCGATACGAGTGGCTCCTTGATACTGCCGAATTATATATGGAGCAAGGCACACCATACCGCAATCTCTCCCTCTCATTGAAGCATTTGTCAGATGCATTGGCGGAGGATAACAGGGACCCACGATCACGCATTCAAGACGCCGCACGGATACTCAATATCATCCACTCAGACGGACGAAAGAGTATCTCCTCCTCAGACCAGTCGATTCAATCCCAGCTCCTGGACATCTGCTCTAGGGTCATCGGTTTGTTGCCCCGTGTAGCGCTCCTGGGGCTGCAGCCACAATCCCGGCTTGAGTCCCTGAAGGCCAGCCAGAAGATAGCGAACATGGGCGCGGTCTACGCACTCAATCTTCAGGGGCCAGAGAAGGCACTTGAGATCCTCGAGCAAGGGCGCGCCATCTTCTGGACGCACAGCCTCCGTCTACGCTCTCCATTCGATGCCGTACCAGGGGAGCTCCGTGACCGTCTGTCAAGCCTTGCTCGGCAGCTAGAACGATCCAGTGAACCGTCAGAGGCGGTTCAAGATCAGCGGGCAGTGGATGCAGAAGCAGCTCGCAGGAGGCGACAAAGCGAGGAATTTGATACCTTATTAAGCGAGGTCCGTGATCTCCCCGGACTGGGACGGTTCTTACTGCACGACGAGTTCCCTGCATTGGCGAAGGTCGCAGAACGGGGTCCCGTTGTTGTGCTTGTGTCTAGCAAGCTGGCGTGCCATGCCATTATCATCAAACCATATGGTCAAATCAACAGCCTGCCACTTGCCCAAATTACAGAGGATTGGGTGGTCCAGTCGGGCATTTCATGGCGTTCGGTAGTGACAGAAACTCGCTCAACTTTGCGGGACCGTCTGAAAGTGTCACAGCAACGACCATTATCCACACTGCCGTGCCGAAATACTGTGGACATTTTACGACACCTATGGGTGACTGCAGTTGGGCCAATACTGAGGTCGCTAGAGATTGAGGTACGAGACTTGACCTACTGTATGACGTCGAGACCGACCGTTTTCGTAGCCCTCTCTCGATCGAGACCGCCCCCGAATATGGTGGTGTCCCACAGGGCCCTTCGTTCATCTTCCCTTGCACGCGGCAGGGGCTGACGACAGCTGGTGCTCGGATTACGTAGTATCTTCCTATACCCCGACACTCGGTGCCCTGATTGCGGCAAGGGCAACGCACACCCCTGTGGAAAAGCGTGATGTTCGAGCACTGATCGCTGCGGTTCCCCATTCAAATTGGCGCGAATTAGCGTCTGCAAGCGATGAAGCTCTTGTTGTTCGGGCGTCACTGCCTGCGAATGCGAAGTTAGTCGCAGTAGCATCTGCGGACGAGGGAGGAGCTGGAGAAGTGAGCGGAATCACGGCCCGGGCCTTGCTCGACAGTTTACCCGAGGCAACGATATTGCACCTCGCATGCCACGGCTACCAGGATCCAGTCAATCCGCTCAAAAGTGGGTTCGTGATGCGGGACGAGATGCTCACGATCGAGAGGTTGATGCTGACACCGCTTCCGCACGCATTCATGGCGTTCTTGAGCGCCTGTGAGACCGCCAAAGGAGATAAGGTCAGCTATGTCACAGCCTGACCTTAGACAGGAACTCAATACGCACCTTGTAGAACCAACCGGACCAAACCGTCCACCTTGCTGCCACCATGTTGTTCGCGGGTTTCAAGAGCGTGATTGCAACGCTCTGGTGAGCACACCTGAAAATACGGTCAGGATCTGATAATCTGATCTTACTTACCACGCCTGCTCAGGTCTATGGAAGATGTCGACGGCCCAGCAATCGCGCACTCAGTATACAAGAGTGTATTCGGCGGCGATTCGGAGGCCCTCGACCCGGACGACATCCCTTACGCGCTCGATGCGGCTGTGCAGCAGCTACGCCGAGAGCATCCCGACCCTAGTCGATGGGCGCCGTACATCCATTTGGGGATCTGATACTTCTAACGTAGAAGCCTGTCTTCATTGGCGATAGATTGTAGATTCGGGTGGCACTTTCGGCGGCTCTCCTTAGATCGTTTTAGCACAGAAACTTTCGTGATTCGTGGATGCCATGGTTGATCGTCGTTCAGAGGGACTAGCGCGGTCCGGCAGCAGATAGGCGCTCTTCATCGCCCTTGAACGACTCTAGTCAGCGCATGTATACATTTCTTTCAGCTGAATCACTATGAAGCGGTGGTGTGCGGAAGGGCTCGGGGAGATAATGTTGTAGATATCGGATGGAGAAGGATTACCAGGCTCAGGCATACGGGATGGGGTACACCCGGCCTATAGGTACTATATGGATTGTCTGAGATGCATTCAGTGCGTCAACTGAATCAGCTGTCATGATATACTTGATCAACGTATGCATGAATTCAGTATGTCATTCCATGCTGCATCAGGCCAGCGTGCATCTCGATGATAGATCTACTTCATTTCTTGATCTTCGGTTTCGCTTTTGTTGCATTGGTCGCTGCCCTGGGTTTCTTGGGTTTCAACAATTTGTCTTTGCTAATATCGTCGTCATCCGCTTGCTTGTCGTCGTCCTCCTCCTCCACGGCATCGTCATCCTGGACAGCATAAGGACATGCACTAACTGCCCCAGTCTATCGCATGACTCACCTCGAAAGCCTCTTCTAGGTCCGGAGCTGGCCCACCAGTGAGCTTCTTCGGTATCTTACCCAGGTCCACGGCCTTATGGAAAGGCACAGGGTGTTCCGTTGAATTGTATCTGGATAAGACGCGTAAATGGCTAGCGCCGCATGTACACGACCTGTACGCACTTCCGGGTAAGTGCTGTCTTGGTGGTAGGTGCGATCTTCTTTAGAACAAGATCATCCTTCTTATCGCCTACTCCAAGCTCGACTATAGTATCCCAGTCTTCCTTGTTCAAGTAGTACTCGTCCATATAGTCGATGACCTCTTCTACTGCGCTCTGTGGAACGCCATCAGGGCCTTCCTGGCAAAAAATAGTATATGCTTACGACGCCGTCATCCATCAAGGGTTTCACGATGTGGGGGAACAGAGCGGGGAGATACGATTGCCGGATTTCGGCCTTGTCGCCTGATACCTTCAAACGCATTCGTATCTGAGTTTCGCTGAGTTGTCTGCTGAGCTTTTGCCCCTTCGAGTTCTGGCCAAGCCACCTGCCGAAAGTATCAGCGATATCGATCATGGTGCGCAAGAACGACGCTCACTGGGGGAAGGATATCGCTGTGCCAGGTTCTTTGCTATATTGTGGCATGAAACCATACAATAGGGAAGCTGGGTACACGAAGGATGAAACGGAGTGCAGTGGCATGAGAGACCAGTGCTGTTCAGGACTGCACGATGGTATCAGCTCATGATCAAGGAAAACACGGAATCTCATACCCATGAATCATGGAGTCAATGAGGTCACTATCAGATATCGACGACGCGGCTTTGTCCATGAGTTCCAGGTGTTTGAGAACCTTCGGCGGGCCATCCAGATTTTTCAGCCTATTTGGAAGGGCCCTTAAATAGTTCTCCTGTACAGGGCGTCAGACGTGCTAGTACAGTGGGTTTGGCCGAAAATTCCGAACCTGCACAAATAGCGGTATGAACGCGTGATCATGGAAGTAAAGTTCCATTTTATCACTCAAAGTCTCCTTGGATGTCGGCGAGAACGTATACGGCCCGAACACCTTTGATATGACATTGTACGGTGTCATAATGGTATGTTTCTCATTGAGCTTAGCACTGTAGCAAGACAGCCTGTTCAGTTATTTGAAGGCGACAGAGACGGAACATCATTCTTACAGTGTTTTGCCCTCATCGAAGTCCATTGAGTCACTTGACAACTTCCATGTTGAGAGCATGTTCAGGACTTGCCGAATGTCCGACTGCGCGCTATTGATGAGTTGATCGACGACATTGGCAGGGACCTTCAACTTTTCTCTGATGCATATGTGAGTGGACGTCAAGAGGTAGCATGAACAAGGATCCCGTACCGGAAAGCAATGCTCATAATTCGGGATCGAATTGTCGCGGCCTCAGGTCTTTCCGGAAAAACTGAGGACACGAGGAAATGTCAAAAATGAGTAGTTCATACCGTTTGAAGGTGAGGCTGAACGTGGAACCCTGGAGAGGTTTCATCTTCTGAGCCGTCCGATCGTTGGCTATGCATATTATGGGGATCTAAGGTTGTCAGATGTAAGCTTCCAGTAGCGATACTGCTTTCAGGACGCAGCTTCTCACCCTAGTCTTCCGTATCAGCGCGTTAAGGGCACCAATGCCGCCTCTATCGCCGGCGGACATGCCATCGACCTCGTCCATAATCAAACACGATTTTTCAGTGATTTTGATGCCCGCCGCATTCGTAGCCTGTGTAACGCGTTAGCACTCGAGCACAATCATTTCACGAGGGCACTTACGTCGCCACCACCCATCCAACCGTCAAGACTCTGATTCATGATGTTTGTGCTGCTCTGACGCAAGACAATCGTTACTATAGTTCGAGATGCGTCGAATAGCGCAGCTTACCTCCACGAGCTTTTTGCTCCGTGCATCACTTGCGTTTAGCTCGATGGGGGTGTAACCTTCGAGCTTTGCGACAAGATGTGCCGAAGTGGTTTTACCAATGCCCGGAGGTCCTGTGATGAGGATAGCACGAAAGACGTTCATCCCGTTCTTGCCCGGTTTCTTGAATCCCGCCTTGAGAGAGTTCGGCCTGCAAAGTGTCCATGAGATGCGTAGGAACATCGGAGCGGAGTGGCTTACCAGTCATGTAACCATTGCTGCAGCTTCTCGACCTGGCTCTTATTGCCGCATATCTCCTTTAGCGTCTGCGGGGCATATCGCTGCGTCCATAGTTGGGTAGACGCGTCGACAGGTTTCGCTTTCGGCGCCGATCCGCTAGTCTGCGCCTTCTTCGCCGCTTTCGCCTGGTCGCGTTCGCGTTGCTCTAGCTCCTTGGCCCCTTCCTCTATCGCGCGCTGCTCCTTCTTCATCTTGGCGGCAAGTTTCTCGTCCACTTTACCTCCTTTTCCGCTCGGGCCGACACGCGTTGCGATGAGATTGAGAAATTGGTCTTCGTTGAGGGTTTTGAGGTTGTTCTTCTCGATGGCTTTGAGTTTGGCGGGACCTGCATCGTCGCCGAGGATCACATACGATGTTTTGCTCGAAGGCTGAAGGGTGACACGCCTGGTAGGCATCGTCAACGATGGCACAGACGAAGGCACCATGAAAACGCACCCGCCGTAGCGTTTAGCTATATCGATAGCTTCGTCCCTCGAAAAGCTTGACAATTCCCCAGTAAACACAAACGTAAGCCCCATAAGACAGTCCATGGTCTTCGGTTCTGGAACCGCCTTGGACCCTGAAGCAACAGGTCGGGCAGCTAGACGCGCAGCTTTGGCCGCCCAGCTTGATATCCAGTCAGAACCAGTCAACCAAGCGGGACGGACCCACTCACTCGAATTTCGGCTTCGGCGGATCTGCAACCTCAGCCGCTCTGGCTTTCAAATTGCTTGGAGATCCAACCTCTTCCTCGTCTGACTCCAGCTTCGGCCGCTTCTTCGGCCGCTTGACAGCTTCCTTGGTCTTGGTCTTCGTAGCGCTCTTCTTGGTGGGCTTCACATCCTCCTCCTCGTCATCTTCGGATTCTGACCCTGACGCCTCTGATTCTTCCTCATAGTCATCGTCTTTCTTCGCTTTCCGAGATGCAGGCTTGGCCTTTGTGGGTGTAGGCGTCGCCTTGGGCTTGTCTTTGCTGCTCGATGCTATTGGCGTGCTGGTTGATGGCCGTGGTTTGGTGTTGGTGAACCCATTCGCAGCAGCGATCTTCTTCGTTTCGGCCTTCTTCTTGGTAGGTGGAGGGGTGGCTGCCCTTATTCCGTCCTCCTCGTCGCTGGAAAGCAGCGCGCTGGGCTTCTTCCGTTTCGTCTGCTGCTTGGGTTTCTCGTCATCGCCTACAACGGGTCGCGTCAAAACACGCGTCTGACATAAAAATCTTGTTAACGCACTTATTTCTATCGCATTTCCTTCGCCGGAACCTTGCGCTTTGCGCTGTATATCAAACCGTGTTCAGGGGCCGCACTTCATTGCACATAGGCGCGTTGTACGCACTGACTGACTGGCGGCTTGACTCGCGAACATGGACCGTATGTCCGCCCCGGACTTCGACGGAGTCCTGGCTGGTGGCATGATGATACGAACGGTAGCGCTCAGAGGAATAGGTGGATAAGACCGTGCGTGCAGGGACGTTCGCCTATGTCATGCGCGTCGGTGGCGAGACGATGGCGTGGGAATCCTGACTTAAGAAGTCGCGACAAAATGCGAACGCGTCGCCGTCTTTTTTTCCTTTGCTTCCTCAATGTACATGAATTATGATTATTCTATTTTGCTCCTGATGTTGTTCCGATAGACTGTTGTTATGATTAGGTGAGAGATCCAATGAATGTGCGTCCCATAGTTTCAGAGCTTGTGCTTCACAGCATAGCCGTCTTTCTAGTCTACTCAGCGACGGCTTGCTCGCGGGTGCATGCAGAAGCGCACCCTCTTCCCCCGGGCTGTTGTCATTTCTTGCCGTTCGTCGCTTCGGTACTGGCAGTATTGTACGCAATTTGAGCTACTTGTCGCGCTTGAGCATCGCCGAATAGCTATGATGCGGAACCGCACTCACCTGGCTGGCGACTTCAAATGGGCGCCTACGAAGCACAGCTTTCGCCCCGGCGCGCAAATGACGGCTGTCTCTCCTTGGAGGCGTCTACCGATAGTGTCGCAGTTCTGGCACCGGAAATAGGTGCTATCACCCTCTCGCTGCCAGTCCGTCTCGCAGAAGTCGTGTTTTACCCGGCAAGTCCCCTGTTCGTGGCGCATGTCGTCGTAATCTTGGTGGCACCTCTCGCAGTGGCTCCGCTCCGGCGTGAGAGGGGCCATCGCATGCAGTGGACCCGACACAGAGTTCAGGTCTAGGTCCTCGATGCTGGAGTCGCCCGAGGACTGGGGGTCACTGTCCAAATCTGGAGTGCCCTCTTCACTCGAGGGGAGCGCCATGCCGATCCTCTCTGCGCGGTATATGGGCCCATGCCCTGGGGAGAGTGGCTTCGACTCTGTGTGATGACCGCGATAGCCGCGAGCTCTCAGCTGCAGAGAATCACGGTGGCTCGAGGACGGGTGCCATTGAAGAGGGCTGGCAGACATGTTGCTCGCCGCCAGCGGAAAGCGTTCCAGGTCACGGTCCAGCTGCTCGAGAGTCCCTATGTCTAGTGATTGGAGTTGCTCATCAAGCTCGGCAGCAGCTTCTTCGCTGGAGACCCTGGTCATTGCGATGGAGATGTAGTGTTGGAGTAGGTTGTCGGTGTTCATGGTGTCGGGGGTTATTGACAGAGGCAAGAGTGGCGAGCCAGCAGGTATTGGGAGGAGATACAGCTCGCCAATCCTCCTTATATCTAGAGTTGGCGTCAAAGAGCCAAGCGTTTTACTGTTCTCATCGCTTCCCGACACGCGCTGTAATTTCGAGCCCTAAACGAGGCGCAGAGGAGGCCACAGGTCGGATGGGGAACTAGACGCTTGATTATGCGGAGGCCACCAATTACGATCGTGTCGGTGAGCGTCCACTTTGTATCAGCATTGCACAATGGCTAAGCCACAGTTTGTAACATGCTCCCATTGTCTCTAGGTGGACCTGTTGATCGTTCAAGCGAGTATTCGCTTTTCAAGTTTGGGCCGCGTGCGGAGCTCTTATCGAGCGCGTACATCGCGGATTGGAAAGATGAACGCTCACCAGCCACAGCATATAGGCGCCGACAGCCAACAGAACGTAGATCATCATCACCTTCAACACGTTGCGGGCATTAGCCATGTTTTCGCCTCCCATGGCACAGGAAAGCCGAGCCATTAGCGTCAACACAAGCGGCCGACGGCCGGGTTGTCGGTGTTCAAGGTGTCGGCCTCGTGCACAGGATGCAAGAATGGCAAGTCGGCAGTCAATAGGAGGTGATCCGACTGACCCGATCATCCTCATACTGGCTCATGGGTATTGAACATATCGACGGTGAACGTCTCTGACATCTCGGAACTAGGCATTGCGATATTGGCGCTACATGAGGCGCACAACAGGCCACGGAATGCATTGCGGATTGCACTGGACGCGCTGAATAAACGCATGGGCCACCGATCAGCAATATTGTGGGTGAGTGCGGACTTCACATTATCATCGCACAACGGCTAAGCTACAGGGTGCTACATGCCACCATTGTCTCTATGTGGACCTCTTGATCGTTCAAGCGAGGAATCGTCTCCAAGTTTGGATAGCCTGCATGAGATTCCTTGAGCACGCACGCGGTGAACTTGCAAGGTGAATGCTCACGAGTCACAACATACAGGCGCCGAAGGCCGTCGGTGCGCAAATCATAGTCACCTTGAACACGTTGCGGCGCCAGCCGGGGTTAGCCATGGGTTTCTCTTCCGCGGCACAGGAAAGCCGATATTATTGGCGTCCACAGGCTGTGCGTTCCCTGGTATGAACGATTTCTGAACATATAACTTGGGTAAGGGCTTTAGTAATGTTTGAAGTTTCGGTAATGACCTGTTCATAGAATGCTGGCACTCCTTTGGTCAAGAGAGACATCGTCAAGTATAACCTCGATGATGCCAACGAAAAGGTAGGTAAGAAGGAGAATGGATCAAGCCAAGAGTTCGGCCGACAGCTCTCCGCATTCCACCTATTTCCGGTCGCTGCGCAACAGTGCTTTCTCCAACGCATGGAGCGCCCTCAAACAAGGTTGCAAACTCGTTGCATGCCGTCAAGTTCCTGCTGTGCGGCGGTTAATGCTGTGCGGCGGAATCCGAAGTGCACTTTCATCGTCTATATTTAGAACACAGTCTGTCTCGAACGACGACTATATGACCATCGGCAACGGCATCGCCAAGTGAGATCACATTGACCTCAAAGGTCCGAATATACTGACCAACACGTTGACCCAGCGACGTCGTGAACAACGACATCTATGACGGGTCTTACCAACTGGTCAACAACACCGATATCGTATCCGAATGGCTTCACTCGCAACACGGGTCAGGCGGGGCAGCAGGCGTCGGGGGCCCGTCGACGCTCCGCGATTGTGCCCCCACCACCGTATGTCGTGGTGGTGGGCGCTCCGCCACACCGACCAGCCCGGACACGATGGAAGCCAAGTTTAAGCGGCTGCAATTTGATGTCCACCGTGCCGTCGTGAAGCGTTCCATGGAGGACGTACGCTATGAACCGCAGGAAAGCGGCCGCACGCGCTCACAGAACGTTTCTGCCATAGAAGCGCGACAGTATCTCGTACGCTCTGGTCTGCCCGAGCAGCTCGGGCGTGACCTCCGTCGATTGCGGTGATGTCGGCTGCAGCTGCACTACTCCGGGTGGCCACTTCGGAGGATGCGACACGGGCTATAGACTTGTGCCAGCAAATGCTACTGCGAGGCCATCGAGGGCACTGTAAGTTTCGAGAGGTCGCTGTAGTCTACAAGGATGTAGCTCCATGCCTTGTTGTGTATGATTATCCATGCCGTTTTTGGTAGATTGTATGGACTCGAGAAACGAGTACAGCGTACTGCGCTTCGGTCTTCCCCCATCTCCGAGGAACCTGCCCCCGTTGATGGCGGCTTACGTATGCCCGCCGTGTTAGCCAAATATGGCAGATCCCGATGGGGCACAGGTTATTCTTAGCTAAGGCAGAGCCCAAAACATGTCGAACCGATCGTTCGACCGACTTTGACCCCAACCTACCCCCGCCATCGCCGATTGTGCGACCGCCACCCTTGATACATATCCCGCTCGTCGACGGCCTGCCTTGACTTGACGTCATGTCCGACAATGAGCCCACCCCGTCGCCGGGGGTCAGCAACCTCCGCAGTCGATTCGAGCAGCTCGCTCAGTCCTCCGGCCCGACGCTGACGCCGTCCACGTCGTTCCCGCCATCGCGGCCCACCAGCAGCCTTGCGCGGCATGGCGTCGACTCCGACGCGCACACAACTTCTACCGTGCCTGAGACGGAGCAAACGTTGCGGCCCATGGGCTCGGCGTCGTCCTTGCGGAGCAATGCGTCGGGCAGGAAACCGCCGCCACCTCCACCTCCATCCAGGAACAAGACCGCCGGAGTGGCACTCCCGTCTCCGGGGCCGTCCCCGCTACTGCATCCCACGAAGGCGCAAGAACTAGCGGAGCAGCCTCAGCCATATTCGCTGGATGCCCTCATCGCAAGGAAACCGCCGCCTCCGCCAAACCAGCCCGTAGGCGGAAAGAGCAGCGAGGAGGAAAATCATCCCCCAGTGAGCGGAATAACGTCGCTCAGGAGCAAATTCGCGTATGTGGTTCTCTTGTTTCACTTGGCCCGCACTTGACCTCGAACATAGCTCCCCTGTACCCAACTTGCCCTCGACTGCAAAGCCCCATGCCAATGGAAATCGAATCGTGTCCCAACCACATCCAACTATCGATACGAAAAATTCGGCGAAACCTCGACCTGCCTCCACGATTCTGCCCGCGCAACACCCTCCAACCGGTGGCAACGTAAATCACCTCCCTTCGGCGCAGCCAGAACTGCCCCGCGTCGAAGTCCAAGATTCGGATCCTTTTGCAGACATCAAAGATGCGACCCCACTCACCCATCAGAATTCGGGTTCATCTCCACCTCCCTTACCCTCGCGCAGCCGTCCGAATGGACTCACCAAGATCCAGTCATCGGAGCTGCTAAGCCAGAGCCCCGAAGCCATTGCCGATGCGGAGGTTGCGAGCCCAGAGGAAACAACTACACCCCCTTCCACTACACGATCCGTACCCATTCCACCACCTCGCCCGCCGCCGCGTCACCGCGCGACGCACAACTTCAACACAGGCGCGCCTGCTAGTCCTGCGGTAGGGGCTCCGCCGCCGCTCCCTGTGCGGCGAGGTCCGCAGTCTCCTGATGGCCCTCCTCCTCCCGAGGCGGCGAAGTCAGATCCTCCCGCCCTCGAAGCGTCTGCCGCCGCCCCCGTTTCTGGCGCAAAGTTGCCTGTACGCCGTGCTACAGCCCCTAACCATGCAGGCGGGCCTGAAGCTGTGCCAGCGTCCGCACCCAGTGCGCTGAAACACGGTGCGCTGCCGCCTCCGCCCAGACGTATGATCGGGCCCAACGAGAAGCTTCCGCCGGTAAGACCTACTGCTGCGGGCGATCAAGAAGACGACGGCGACGATTCGTCGGATGAAGAGAGCGGAGAGGCAGATAAAGACCCGAAAGACCAACTACCCGATGCATCCAGGGCGTCGAGACGACCTCCGGATATTCACCCGCACGCTTACTCCACTGCTCGGATCAGTGTGCCTGCGCATACGGGGATGGTTGCGACCAGTGGTAATCGCGTGGTTATGGCGACTGGTCACCACGTCAAGATTTATGACCTCTCGCGGTCAGATCTTCCCCTATTTGACATCGACTTCAAAGACGCTCTCGAATGGAAGAATAAGGATACAAAGATCTCGTCGATCGCGTTCCGCTGGAGCTCGTCAGACCGGATTGGATGTTTCCTCTGGCTCGGTCTCTCCGGCGGACACATGGCAGAAATCGACGTTCGCATCGGTCAAGTCACCGGCATGAAAGCTGCAGCGCATTCATCTACAGTCACACATCTCTTCCGGTACGGGAAAAGCATGGTATCTATGGACGACAACGGCAAGGTTCTCATCTGGAATCCGAGCCCCGAGGAGTTCGGCGAGGACCTCATCATGGCGTTCACCCAGCCCCGTGTGTTCCGCATCGCGGAGAAGCAGGACTGGGCGATGATTATCGACGGGAGGCTATGGACGAGCGCGCGTGCGGACAGCGCCGGCCACTACGCCCAAGCGCATAACGCCGCTGCCGGAAGCAGAGGGCCCAACATCCGCGTGTACGACATCTTCACACCGGGGAGCACTGGCAAGACGGTGCTCCCCATAGAGCACGTTGGTGCGGTGACCAGCGGGACGATGCTGCCTTGTACTCCGGGTCGCGCTTATCTCGGTCACGAGGGTGGATGTATCAGCGTCTGGGAATTACAGACGGAAGACGGGTATCCGAGGTGCGAGGAGGTGGTGAAGGTCAGCGTCAGCGACGTGCTCAGTCTGGAGGGGGTGAACGAGAGGTTGTGGATGGGCGGAAGAAAGGGCATGATAACGGCGTATGAAGTGGGCCCTCGGCCATGGCTCGTCAAGAATTGCTGGAGGGCGCACGAAGACCTTCCGGTTCTGAGGATCGAAACCGACCCGTGGGCGCTTGAGGCGTTAGGGCGGCTGGCAGTCGTGAGTGTCGGACGAGACGAGCAAGTGAGGTACTGGGATGGCTTGCTCGGCAACGACTGGATCGGTGAGTGATGCTGGCTGCCGACCGATGTTCGCAACGCTGATGAGCCTTCGACCCCGCAGAGACCGAATTGTTGAAGCGTGAGAGTCAGTTCAGCGTATTCCGCCCTCTGAAAGTCCTCGTCGTCACATGGAATATCGACGCTGCCAAACCCGACATGCTCACCGGCAACGAAGGAAACGTTACGTTCATAGAGCGTGTCCTGACCTCGGTCGACAGACCGGACATCATGGTTTTCGGTTTCCAGGAGCTCATCGACTTGGAATCGCGTCGAATGGCGGCAAAGACCGTGCTATACACCGGTACTGGAAAGAAGAAGACGAACGATGGCGGTTTGAGCGATAAGGTGACGAAGGCGTATCGGAGGTGGCACGATTGGCTGGTGATGAAGGTCAAACTTCATATGCCGGTGGAAGAGGGGTATACCGTGGTGGGGAGCGAGAGTATGGTTGGACTGTTCTCTTGCGTTTTCGTGAGGAGCAAGGAACAGATCGACCTCAAGGATGTGGCGATCGATAAGATGAAGCGGGGAATGGGCGGATACTACGGTAACAAGGTAGGCGACGTATCATATTCCATCTCAGTGCACGTACTGAAATGCTTTCCATAGGGCGGAATCGTGACTCGGTTCGTCATCGAGGACTCTTCGGTTTGCTTCGTCAACTGCCATCTGGCTGCGGGACAACATCATGTACGCCAAAGGAATCAAGACGTTGCACACTTATTCGACGACAAGGAATTGCTACCAATGTCAAGATCCACAGACGAGCCGATCGCATACGTCAATGGTGGAGACGGCACCATGGTCCTTGATCATGAGATAGTCTTCGTATGTGGACCCTGGTTAATTTCGTAGCGCCTCCGCTGATTCAGCTCCAGCTGAACGGTGACATGAACTACCGCATCGACCAACGACGTGAAATAGTGGTCAACGCGATCAAGTCAGGCGACTTCGAATGGCTCGGCGTGCACGACCAACTCCTGAAAGAGATGAAGCACAACCGCGCTTTCCGACTTCGTCATTTCAGTGAAGGTCCTCTCAAATTCGCGCCGACGTACAAGTATGACCGTGGCTCGGATACATACGATTCGTCGGAGAAGAAACGTTGCCCTGCTTGGTGCGACAGAGTTCTGTGGCGTTCGAGGGAGCCGTCTCGGGTGCGGCAGCTTCACTACCAACGCTACGAGCCGAACGTATCCGACCATCGGCCCGTGTCGGCCGCGTTCGAGATGACCGTGAAGAAAGTAGATCGGGAGGCGAGAGCGCAGATCAAGACTGAGGTGCAAGCACTATGGCAACACGAGGAGCACAGACTGCTGGCAGTCGCACGAAACTTCTATATTGACCAGCGGCTACTGTAACGGACCCTGTTGTGTAGGCCAAGCGTTATCACTACACGTAACTTAATGTACCCATGAACAACCTACTGAAGCACTCGTAATTCACTATTCGGGCGAAACGCGCAATCTCTTCCTAATTATGGTTGCAAAGCGAGACTTTGTTATACATCAGTTCTACTTTTCCAACAACGTCCTGGGTGATCATTGCGCTAAAAGTACACATGCAAGTCACAAGGAGCGGATATATACAATGAAGGTATGCTGGATGCGTGTGTATGTGTATGATGCTAGTATTGCAAGGGGGGGGGGGGTTCCAGTCCCAATGGTTTACGAGCATTACCAATCGTCGAAGCCCACGAGCTTGTCGTTCCAGCTCCACCACATCAATTCGTCTTCGTCATCATCATCTTCTTCGCTGGTACAGTCGAAATCATCGCACGTCTTGTCATTTGAAGCAGCTTCTGTGGTACGCCTTGGGTTGGACCTCCGACAGCCGACCCACACGCCTTGTGTCAGAGAACCCTTCGCTGTTCTCCGGGTTTTTACCATCCCGATAGGGGTGTCTTCATTAGAGTGTCCCGTGTCCGCGAGTCCACAGTCTGCCAGGAAGTGTTCCAAAACGCTGTCCATGGTCGCAGACATTTGCGTGCGCGGTGTCCATCGAGAATGCCGGAACCGTCTCGGAGCATGAATGAGGATATGTATGTCCATGGGCGCTGGATTGTCACGTAACATTCATTGGTGAGGAGGTGCTTGGTAACAAAACAGGGTAAACGCACGCAATTCTTTGCCCAAGAAATCCATTGTAGGCGGTATTGCCTCTTTGGTCTCTCCGGTAGCATCAACGAGTGTCCGCGAAAGCAGCCGTTCCGCCGCGCGCAGTTCAGATTCTACGTGTGATGTGCTGCCAGAGGGTGACGGTGAGAAGTTCTCTTTGGAAACTACGGTCACTCGTGACGGCACTGGCGGACTGGGAAAGCGCTTCGGCTGTGCTGAAGGAGTTGCAGATATGTCTGAGAGAGGTGTTCGCACTGGGTCCGAAACGAGGGTGAGGGTCGAGGAGGGTGAGAGTGGTGCCCTACTGGGTGGAGCAAGGGGAGGGAGTACAGTCGATTGTGGGAGTGATTTACGCGAAGAAGTCTCGCTGCCGGGTGAAGGCGATCTTGAGGATGGAGGCCATTCGTCATCACTGCTATCATCATGCGTACCGTCCGCGGCTAGGCTGACGTTGTCATTTTCGTCTTCGCTGGCGCTTTCTTCGTCGCTGTTTTGGTGGTCCTGAGTCTCGTGTACGCGAATTTCCAGCCCATCGAGCACGAGTATCACGCGAGCCTTTGGTGCCGTCAAAGGTCCGAACACAATAACGAAGTGTGTTGGCGAGGAGTTCTGGGTGTGTGCGTTTGCTATGGCAGTCGAGAGAGACGCGAAGGTAGAGTGCAAATCTGATGAGAGCGTGGAAAGCGCATCGACCATTTCCTGTCTCTTCTTCCTTGCCTTCTGCTTCGACGAGTTCCCTTCCGATGCGTGTATACGGGGCAACTGTGTCACAGGTCTATACATATACGTTGTCTGAGTCAGGGTATTGTTTAGGAGATGCACACTCACAGTGGAATCTGTCCTTTGAGGAAGAGCATATGACCCAGCAGTGCCATTGATATACGCGCTGCCAGTGTCACGGATACTACGTCTTGGTCCAGAACGACAACCGGGATCCGAAGCGGCTTCTCGAGTGTAACTTCGTCGTCCGTGTGGCGATGGTTGTTGTTTTGTGTCGCTTGTGTGTCGACACAAATGCTGGAGCTGGACGCCGATGTTATAGCTATTGATGGGGCATTTTGAGGAGGAGGAGAGGTAAGGACAGTAGTAGACATCTGCCTTGACAATTCGTCCAAGGTGCACACGAACGACTGAGCGGCGCGAGCTCAGGTTGAGTTTGCTATCAGTCACGTGTGCGCGTCCCGGAAGTGTCACAAGAGTGTTACAATCTGTCACAACTTCAAATGGCGTGGACCATTGTGCTGGCGCACCTTGAGAACGATCTATACTGGTCCACAGACTCGAGCCGAGGTCCTCTGTGCTAGAACTCTCAATCGAGCACCTCAGCCCAAAGAAACTAAGGCCTAGGGAATACTGTTCGCTCACAGAGAATCCGAGTCGTATCACCTGAAGACATTCGCGGCCACCACTTGGTTTCAGAGTTTGCGAATCCCCATCTTGTAGACTTCTTCATGCTGCTTCGTGTATGCAATCCGCCAATCAGATCGTACCATCTATATTATATGCTCTTTACTCCACCGGCTACTCTCTACGAAGCTCAAGGATTCGATGCTTTATCCCCTCATGGCTACCAACACAGCGCCAGACGACGTGTCGTCTATCATAAACACCTAGGATTCGACAAACATGGCAAGACTGTCTCGAAAAGACTGTAGCACTCTCGCATCGCTGAAGATACAACTAGCGCAGTGACTCGCATGTTTTATCTCCGGATGGCTTGCAACGCAAGACGGCGATAGATGACGCATGACGTGCCGTGTAACTTCGAATACATGGGATGCGTCAACCATGGCGAGACTGCGGGATTCTGCCGTGTGCACCGTTTATGCCCGGGTTGGCGCTTCGATTCACGCGGCTTCAAAATCCTACTTCGGTCAGTATGATGTTACCTATGACCCGTCGACTAGCAGCTGGTTACTGATTCAGCTCGCGTCGTTAAACGGTGTGGATGCGATATATAAGCTGGGTTTCTCTCGTAGTCGAAGCAGAGTCTACAACACACTCACGTCTGCGAGATCTCCAGCTCGCATCCACCAGTTCGCTATGCCTGTCTCCTCTACTCTTGCTAACGTCCATGGTGCCAACGCCACGGCCTACAAGCAGCCTCCGCTCGATGGCTCGCTGACCGTCCCCGAGATCTACGACTGGCACCTTCAGCATAATCCGGATCACGTTGTCTTCGTGTATGCCACCGAAGCCGGCGACCGGGCTGAGATCACTTTCAAGCAAGGTGTTCATGCGATGCATCGCGCAGGTCGCATGTTGATTGACCGCCTCTCCAACCGAGGTCTGGAGCCCAAACCCCAGGAGGCTCCGGTGATCGCTATATTTGCAGCCACAGGTTCGAGCCAAAGGTTTCTTTGCATCATAAGCAATCCTCAACTAATATACATCTAGACACCATCACCTACTTCGCTACATGGATTGGTCTCGTTCGAGCCGGATATGTGGTTTGCCATCTCTCGCACCGTAACTCCGCCGTCGCCGTCGCCGATCTCCTCCAGAAGGTGAACACGGCGCATGTTCTCGTCTCCAGCGAGCCGCGCATACAGGCTGTAGTTCGCGAGGCTCTCGACACGATCCACGACCCGCACAAGACTTACTCGAACTTCGTTTCCGAGATGCCAGCTCATCAAGACATTTTCATAGCTGGGGACGATTATTTGCTTCCGAGAAGAGAGCTCCGCATGAATTCTCCTGCCTTCTTCATTCACTCGTCAGGTACTCTGTCTCTCGCGGATGTGTTGAGCATACAAGGCTAATGCCAATATACAGGCTCGACGGCATTCCCAAAGCCCCTGGTCTGGACGCACGATACATGGATCACACTGGCGAATCCCATCTGTAGGTGATGTCATCCCATCGCTGTATTTCGTGGTCCTAAGCATTGACTTCGCCAGTATCCTCACATACCGACTTATGCGGCGAGATATTGGGCTGTCAAGCGGTACCGATGTTCCATGCCATGGGGATATTCACCACGATGTTAGTTGTAAGTAAATTGCTAGGAGGACAAGAGCGAGAGGAGCCGTTCTGACGTATGCTTATCCGGCAGGCAGGCTGCGGAATGACTGTCGCGGCTTTTAAGCCTCAAACCCCCGCTATCGCCGTTACGCCCGAGTCAACGTTTGAGAGCATTATCAACACGGGCTGCACATACACCTTGAGCGCGCCATATATTGTGGAGGTTAGTTCATGAACACGTGATTCTGTCCTCTTCTGAGGATAACTCCTGTAGACCTGGGCGCGCGATCCGTCTAAGATCACGGCTTTGAAGGGGTTGAAGGGTGTGGTATGCTGATGCACCCTTGCCACATCCTGACCTTCGTGACTGAACGATGCACAGATGAGTGGAGGTGGACCATTTGACAAGGGTTTGGGCGACCTCCTGGTAGACCACGGACTCAATATCTACAATATATACGGTTCGAGCGAAACGGGCCTGCAGGTGCCGCTCATTTCAGGTGAACATACACTCTCATTTTTGTCGCGATAACATATGTTGATCATCACCGCGCATGCGATGTTCAGCACCTGCTGGGAAGGATTGGGACTATCTTCCCATCATTCCGACATGTCAACCCGAGTTCGTTCCACACGGTGATGGCACATACGAGCTTATCTTGGTGGTGAGTGCCACTCGCTCCTGGAACAATACGGCACTGATGTAAATGATGTAGAAATGCAAGACGAGCATACCACTCGTACTGAATACGAAGTGGAACGGCACCGATGCGTATGCCACTAACGATCTGCTTGTTCCTCATCCGACAAAGGAGGGACACTGGAAAATAGTCGGAAGAGCTGATGATCAGATCATGCTCTCCACCGGCGAGAAGGTCCGTTTTATTAGTACGCGATTAGACACAATATACTAATCCGTCGATCCGTCAGACAAATCCCGGGCCCTTAGGTGAGTTGCTTGCCCCTTCCGTTATGACATGTTTTGACCGTAGGTCACCTCAGAGGCCATTCTACGTAAAGATCCCCGCATCCAGATTGCCCTCATGTTTGGGCGTGGTCGCTTCCAAAACGGGGTAATTATCTTGCCGAAGCCCGAGCATTCCTTCGACCCCGCAAATCAAGAGCTTCTGATAGCCTTCCGTAACGCCATCTGGCCGACTGTGGAGCAGATGAATGCTTACGCGCCACAGCATTCACGTCTGTTCAAAGAGGTACGCTTTTGTTGATAATCGCTTATACGCAAGTTGACGTGACAATGAACAGATGATACTTGTGGCGTCACCGGATAAACCATTCCTGTACACGCCTAAAGGGTCGATCCGCCGTCAAGCAACTCTGAACGAATACGAGGCTGAAATAGAGGCTCTGTACACGTCGATCGAAGAATCCAGCCAGTCAGACATCGCTGCCCCGACCGAATGGAACTCCGAGTCTACCCTGGATTTCGTCAGGAAGACCGTGCACACGGTGCTTAAAGCGGCTATCACAGATGAGGATGACCTGTTCCAGTACGGATGTGATAGGTTTGTTCCAACTTGGACATATACGCTGTGCTTAAGCTGATCCTCCGCATTAGTCTGCAAGCAACATGGATTAGGAACACCGTTGCCCGCGCCCTGCGCGATTCCGGCGAAGTGACCGCGCCGCCCTTCGACCTCGTCTACGTGTATCCCACGATTTCGTCACTCGCGAAATTCGTTATGGAAATAGATTCTTCCGTCGACAACGCGGGTACCACTCAGGCACGCAAGACGGACGAGATGCTCGCGCTTGTGGACAAATACTTGCTTGATTTGCCCGCACACAGCGGCACTTATGTCTACGACCCGAACTCCGGCGGTTACGTTGTGCTCCTGACTGGAACGACCGGCGGACTCGGCTCCAGCATATTGGCCGGCCTCCTTGCTTCTCCCAGAGTGCGGAAGGTGTACGCACCGAACAGGCGTTCATCAAAAGGCCGTTCCCTCAAGGAGCGACAGAAGGATGCTTTCGTAGCCCGTGGGCTGGATGAAGGTCTGCTTGAGTCACCAAGGCTTATTCTCCTCGAGAGCGACTTTGCGTCGCCCGAACTGGGCTTGGATGCTGCGACTTTCCGGGAGGTAAAGATAATGACATCTGAATGAAGCACCTTGCTGACTCGCTCACCATAGATGCACGACTCCGTCACCACGATCATCCACAATGGCGAGTGGTGTTCATTGATATGCAGATGTCTCAACTAACGTCCAGGTCACTCCAGCTTATCCGGTCAACTTCAACCTCTCTCTTGCTTCATTCGAGCCTCAGATAGCGATCGTCCGCCGATTCGTAGATTTTGCTTTGACATCTCGCCTCGCAACGCCCCCTTCGATTGTCTTTACCAGTAGCGTCTCCACATTGCGGAGTAAGTCGCCCATGACCATTGTTTACACCTGGTTGACACATACGTTTGGCACAGATTTGCCGCTGGACCAACCCGCCGAGGAGATCATTTTTGAGAACCCGGCGTCTGCGCTTGGCGCTGGTTACAGCGAGAGTAAATGGGTGGCAGAGATGATTTTGTCCAAGGCAGCATCCGTCATTCCTGCTTTGCACACTACAGTGGTCCGTGTCGGTCAGCTCAGTGGCGGCAAGACTGGTGATTGGAATGCTGCCGAGTGGTTCCCGTCGTTGGTGGCTTCTGGCGTTGTCGTGAAATGCTTGCCGGACATAGATACAGTGAGTCATCACTCTTCACCCTTCCTCGTGTAAGTTTTTCATTGATTAAATGTATTAGGTCGCTGCTTGGGTGCCCCTTGATATCGCTGCATCCGCCATGGTGGAGATCTCGCTCAATCACGAGGACAGCGTACCTCCACTTGTGCATCTGGCGCACCCTCATCCCGTAACATGGTCCTCGATAGTGGGCTATATCGCCGAACAGCTCGGAGTGCCTTTGGTCACCTACGCAGACTGGCTACAGGCGCTCGACAACGATTTGAAGGACAAGTCGCAATCAGAGGTTGAACATATGCAAGCGAACCCCGCTCTACGACTTCTTTCCTTCTACAAAGGCGCAAGTGCCATATCTGGCGCTCCTAAGGACAACGCGCACGAGGCGATGGGCATGCCGTTGATGGCTACGGAGAAGGCGAGGGCAGCCGCACGCTTCCTGAACGAATTGGCCCCTCTTGCTCCCAGCGACATCGACAAGTGGCTTGCATATTGGCGACGAGTGGGAGCCTTGCCGGGTTAGTGATGATTAGACGGATCTGTTTGTACCATAGGATTTGGTTTCGCATGCTGCACGATTCTACGTCCGTCATCTCAGTCGGCTTATATTCAAAGGAAGACGATGAAGTTTACGGCGAACAATCTTATCACGACACTCATGGTAGATGAGAACTAGCTTTTCCAGCACTAAGACATGCATATGAAATCGTTGAACCATGATCTATAGAGCTCTATTACTGATTGCCAATATCCGGGTAATTTATTGTTGATTGCACATCATCAGTTCTCCTCGGCCCACACAACCTCACGCTCGGAGGCGGCGGATTCCCTGAGTTTCCTCCGGTCCCTCACCCCGAGCCATATAGCAATTCCCAGAGCAGCCGTGCACGCCGCGATGGTCATGTGCAGACTAGCTTCGTAGCAGCTTCTCCCGTCGAAGCACTGCGCGTCTGCGGGGAGTCCCGCGCGCCGCAGAAGTGACGCCGGCTGCGAGGTGGACGGCGATCCGGGAGAGGCGTGCGCGTCGAGGTTGCGCCCGAATGCGAGCGAGAAGAGGTTGCCGCCGAGGAGGGGCGAGAGCGAGAGGAAGCCCCAGTTTTCGGAGAAATGGGCTGGGATCACACCTCTGGTCAGCGCGCGTCCCGAATGCGAGGAGCAAGCGCGTGTGGACTCACGAAGACCGAACCACTCGATGGCGATCGTCGGGACAAGACCGAACATGCTGCCGTATCCGAACCCAAGGAGGGCGCTTGCTTTCCACAAATCCGACACGTCGGTGATGGCAAGACAAGCCAGCTGTGATACAAGCAGGAGCGCTGCGACCAATGTTAGGCACGTGGATCGCTGTTGTTGCAGACTGTACTTCGTGAAGTCGGCGGTGAAGCCTATGTATCGCCTTACTCAGCACCAAAGGCGGGAGAGACAAAGAAGCAGTACCGATGACAATCCGACCAAGACAGTTAGTGATGCTGATGGCGGATACTTGGACCGATTGCCACTGCGAGGCCATAGTCTCATCGTAATCCGGGTTTCCTTGTGCGAACAAGGCCTGCGATATGGATCCCACGTTGTTGATATCTACGGGAGTCATGAGAGAAGCCGCGGGTACGGTCGTGTGAGGCTGACTCACACATGAGGCCGGTCCCACTCACTGATGAATTCTTATGAGCAGTCATGACAAGGTTGCATAAAAGAGCTTACACAGGGACATAAAGCAGAAGAGAAGCCAGAAGTCAGGTGCGAAGGCAAGAGCCTTGCCATGGATGTTTGGACCGTCTACGTCCTTCACTGGTATCTCTTTGCTCTTGCTCCGAGATCGACGCGTGCGCGCGCTAGCAGAGCGACGATGGCCGTCCCGCGTCGGGCTAACGCTCATCTCCACCGAATTTCTGGTGTGCGGGAACTGGAAGTGAGAGGACACCTGCTGGTGGTGAACATGCGGAACCTCCTCCTCGTCAGCGACCTCTGTCTCCACGGCAGCAGGTGAGAGGAGACGGGTGCGACTGTTGGCACGTTCCACTTCCGGGGGCCCGTGGATCACCAGGCTTTCTTGCTCCTCTGCGGAAGCGGGTCCGTGCTCGAGCGCGGTCGTGGTAGCGGGAAGCGGGATGTATCGGAGGAAGAATAGTCCGAGGACCATGGGGATAGATGTCCCAAGTGCGAGTACGAGTAAAAAATCGGATGTGTTGCCCGGGAATAAGGTGTGGGCGATGGTTGAGAAGAAGAACGCGGAGAGACCGAAACCTGATATGACGATCCCCGTGGCAGCCGCACGCTGGATACAATCCTAAGCATCGGCCGTCCTGTAACCTTGCGGTGGAAGACGTACGTGAGAGTCGGGGAAGTTCCTCGCTGTAACGTTAAGGGCGGAGCAGAGCCCGCCATTCCCGCCAACACCGCTGAGGAAGTTGCAAAAAGCAAGGATCCAGAAAGTGAGGCCAGGTAACGCCGCCTTCGTAGCTGTTCCGTGAACGCCAACTCCGTCAGCTCTCTTGCGAGTCAACCACGAAGAGGCACTGACAAGAATCGGCCTGAGTTGGCAATCCAGCGTCGTATATGTGGCGTATTCCGGAATAGCCCAGCAGCAAACCGACGAATGCAATACATAGCAGCATTCGAGGACCCTTGAGGTCGGCTATCCGACCCCATATAGGGGCGGTGCTATATACACCCACTGTGATGGGCAGCGGTCATTCGGTCGGCCATGACATGGATGGCAGGTGCTGCAGCGTACCATTGCCTGCGAGACCGATGATATTCAACTGTGTGTGGCTGATGCGGAGGCGCGAGCCCAGTTGTGGCGCGTAGGCTGATTGAGGGCGAAGAGAAGAATGAGAACGACAGTGACACGTTTCGTGATAAGATGATTGAGTGAATACCGTGCATTCTCAGGCAAATAATAACTGACCAGAGAAAACCTAGTACACCGGAGTTCACGGAATGGGCAGAATGGAGTCATATGAGTCAAGAGCTCTGGTTGCTAGCTGGCACTTGCAAAAGCACACACATAGTTTGTTCCGGACCCAAGTGCGACGAGAATAGACACAACGAAGGTAACAAGCCGAGGAGTACTCAGCAAGCGCGGGTGGTGGGGTTGGGCCATCCTGGAGCTTCCGCAAACACCCCTCTCTGTTCCTGCGCAGTGGGATAGACGAGGAACAAAGCAGGAGGGGTGGATATGATTGGTGTGGTGAGTACACACCGAGTTGGCCGCCTGCGATAACGCGGGGGCGTTGTCTCTGCCACCGCCTTCTGGCACGTGGCGCTCATATCGTTCGTCTTTCCCGCCCGGTCCGCGTCGCTCATGGCCGGCTGCCGCTGGCTGCCGCAGGCCGTGCGCAGTCAATTGTCATATCATGCAACGTGTTCCCAAGTTCACGGTTCTTTTCTTGGAAAGCCTTGCGTCTTGCGACCTGACTTTCTCTCCTGACGGTTTGATCCTGACGTTTGCGGCTGCTGGAACTCGTACAGTTGAACCTCGACATATTCGGGTTCTGGGATTCTTCAAAAGTCAATCGGACAAGTCATAAATTCTGCATGGCGGGGAGCATCGATTACGTCGAAGTGCCTTTAGGATTCGGAAATGCGCTCATACGCGCAACTCAGCCGAATGCGCCTCTTGTCCTCCTGCACGATGCTGAACACGGGGTGTGTGCGATGCCTGATAATCGCGCTTTGGCAAAGAATACTGTATAAAGATCGCACAAAAGGCGCACGCAGTCGGTGCGCGCGGCAACACACAAAAACCCTCCCCGGACCGCCTCCTTCCATATCCGGACTTGGTTTTTGTGTGGACGTTGACGATGGGCCGCGCACTGAAGGTTCCATACCGGCCTCCACCTCGCGTAGCTAAACTCAGAGGACGGAGCTGGCGACGGGACAATGTCTCTCGGACGTCACCGGCGCTCGGATCCGGGTTGCGCTCCGTGCAATTGTAACGGTCATGACTTGAGGTGCGCCCGTGGATACACAAGACTATAAGAACGCTTCAGCTGCCAGACAAGTCAGACAAGTTTCCCGTTTCTTGTATTCCCTGAGCCACATACTCACCCTCCCTCCCCTCGCCACTGAACCTCTTGCGGACTGCTGCAACTCCGGTCATCATGGACTCCTTCAGGAGTACCACCATCTCCGCGCTATTCATGGCAACCACTACCGAATCTATCGTGCCGGGTTTCGAGCTGGACTTGAAATCGGCGTCAGGAGAGAAGGAGAAGGATGAAACACCGTTCGACTACGATAAGAAGGGTTGTGTGGGGTGTTGTATCATCGCCTAATATCGCCATCTGGTAGGATCCCGCTCTCTGGTCGGGGCAAACAGAGGTGACTGATATTTTTCTGGATCAGGATCACCAAGTTGCACAATAAGATGGCGGAAAGCACTTCCGGTTACCGTTATACCCATTATTGTCTTGTACGTTCGCGTTGACATCGTACTCTACTATGCTCTACAGCCCAGATATCGACTGACTCGCTTTGCCATAGTGATATCTGCATCCAATCAATCAAGATGTGTCCGGACTTGGCAGTCTGGCGTTCACGATCCTTCTACCCTACTGTATCTCGGACTGTAGCATTGCTTGTATCCGTATAGCGCCTGCCTCAATATAGTTGTCTCATCTCATCATCGTTATCATCGACGCAGATTAATGACAAATAAAACAATTGGGTGGCAGAACAAGTGCCTCGGTCAATCATACGAAGAACGTAGCATCGACACCGCGAAGTGCACACCGAACGCGGCAAGGCAAATCGTATGAAGATGACATCGCTTGCCAGTTCACTTCTAGTAGGAACTCGGGTGCTTCAACAGCGTCTGTAGGTATGAAGAGGCTGATGAGCATGCGCTTCGATTGGCAGACAGATATGAAATACACTCACCCCACCGTCGATCAACACCGTCTCGCCGTTGACAAACCAGTTGGCGACCAAGAAGAGCGCGAGCGTGCCCATGTCGCGGGGTGTGCCGCCGGTCGGCACAGTAGGGACAGAGAAGTTTAATTTGTGGTCGGGCGGCGCGTGCGAAATGCCGAGGGAGTCGATTGTTCCTGGCATAGACATCTAAACACCAATTCACGCACTGAGAATATGAAACGGAGAGAACAGGACTGAGGGGGTACCTCGGTGACGAACCAACCCGGAGCAATGCCGTTCACTCGGATACCGAGCGGGAGAAGCTCGTGCGCAAGCGAGGACGTTGCATGTCCGATGGCTGATTTGGAGAACAGGTAAGGGAAGGAATTGCCGCCGGTGGCTGAATCCTTTTATCCATGGTCAGTCAATTGATGGAGGAGATGAATCCAGTGTGCAAGCGTGCCTTTGTCCATCCGTTCATACTGCTTGTCATGACGATCTGAGGGACGAACTTCTTGCTGAGAGGGTTTGAGTCTGCCTTCCATTTCTCAAGCAAAGGCAAAAAAGCGAAAGTGAGCCAGTAAGGGCCTGTATGAGTGGGTGTGTACACCACGTTCGGACCGATCAATCGGTTTACTGATCTAACTGCGAAGATCGTGGAGACGAACCGACAGAGTTGGTGTTTATGGAATTGGTGAAGTGTTCCTGTGTAACGGGGTCGAAGTAGGCATCGATGAAGGCAGCGGCCGTGGCCTCGGCAGGCCTTTGAGCTAGACCTTGGTGTATGCTGTGAGAAACATGGATGCTATCAGTGAAGCCCGCGAGACCTGAGGGCAAACCAGCGGCGACTTACCCAGCGTTATTGAAGAGAATCGTGACATGAGGTTCTCGCTTGGCAACCTCTGACGCAAGTCTAACAGCCTCCGATTTCTCTCTGACGTCGCCTTGGATTCCGTGCATCCGGCCTCGCCCATCTTGGGTTGCGGCTGCCTTGTTGTACACTTCGGCGATCCTACCGAAGGATCAGAGACGTCGAGTAGCACGATAGTAAAAAGCTATCAACCTATCCAGATCATCTTGCTTGGGTCCAATGATGTAGACGGTGGCGCCGTTGGCTACGAGGGTCGAGCTGATCATGAGCCCTATTCCCTGAAGAAAGCATTCCATCCTTTGGCTCGACGCGCATGATGGCGGGGATAAACCATACCGTACCACCTCCCGTGACCACTGCAACCACACCTTGAAGGTCAAATATGTTGCTGGCGGTCAAAGATTCCAGGATGTTTTCAGCCATGGTTGTGGTCCTCGCGAGTCGGCGTGAGTAGTCTCTGGCTATTCCTGAAGGCGTATGACCAGTCTGCTGTTATTTATATCGGCATTGCGGCAGCTATTTCATCATGAGAATCATCGCCCTGGGCCTGTACGGAGGGTGAGTGTGAGACCTGAGCCTAAGGCCAGAGGTTATTGACATTGACCGTCAGCCTAGGTTGGGAGATTAGATTGACGTTTCCCACACTCACAACTATAACTAAAGGTTCAGCACAGCCACCTCTGACCAAAATTCCCGCCGCGCCGCCCGCGCCCTCTTCGCCATCTCCGCCTTTGCTCGCATTCTTATCCGTTTAACCAGGGCCAAGTTTGAACTGTTCTATCAATTCTTGGGGCTTGTGTTGAGGGAAAGCTAGGCCTATCTACTGGTAAACTTGGTCCGGTGCGTAGAAATTAACACCGCGCTTATGAATAAGACGCTCACTTGTCATCGCAGAACAGGGCTTCATCAATCGTTGTATGGACGTCAAGCGTTGATGTTGGCACGATGTGCACGCACTAGTATCTTCGGACCCGCTTTGCGCAGCTCAGTGCGCGGAGCACTTGATTTCCCCGCCGCATGTAGGCGCCATGTCCGCACTTTCCCGCCGTACGCATTCACGAAGCCGGTGCAAGAGAAGGAACGTGCGGAAGCGATCGATCACGCCCGTGTCAATACTCTGCTTCATTCGCTCACGCGTAGTCTCGACCGCGACAACTCCAAGCCAAACCCGGACGCCGCATATGCCCTCTTCACCTCCGCCCTGCCAACTTTCACGTCCGGCCTGGCCAGGCGTGATGCGTATGAACGAGCAACAAATATGTTCCTCATTTACGGCGCATACAAGCACGCACTGGCTCTCCATTACGAAATGCGCAACGAGCGGCATATGCCCAGTCCCAAGTTGCAGGCGCTTATAGTGGCGCTAAAGATTGCCGAGGACGCCAGTTATTGCGCCTCTGACGACCACATGCTCGCCGCACTGCAGCCCGTTCTCGCCCTGCCGAATTACACGGAGAACGCTCTTCGACATCTGCTTCATTTTCTTTGCGAAGTTGCGCCGTCCGGCCAGCTTGTGAACCGTATCCTCGACGCGTTCATTGAGGCCCGTAACAAGGAGCTCAAGGAGAAGATACCACGGAGGCAGAGGACGAGGCGCAACTACGAAGAGTATGAGCTGCACGAGACCACAGTTTGCGCGCTGGTGAATATCCACTCGAAACTTGGCACATACGACTCGGCAGAGGCACTCCTCGAGGACGCCGATGTGGCCAGTGTCTTCCAGGCCTTCCTTGCCAACCTATCGGATGAAATCGACACGAAGCAGTCTTCCAGCAACGTGGAGATGCCTACTCAAGATCCAATTTGCGGCAGCGGAAGGCTTCCCCCTCCTTACATGAGTGCCGAAGAGGTATTGGCGCGCATGGCCAGCTCAGGCGTTCCGCCCGACATTGTTGTCTTCAACATCCTCATCGCGCGAGAGGTGCGCCGAAGCCAGCTGGAGAAAGCATTCGCGATTTTCGAGATGCTTCTCGCCGCAGGTCTCACACCAGATGGAACCACTTTCGCGTCGCTCTTCGTCGCGTTGAAGAAATTGGAGCGCGCGCGTATCGACATGGCGGAGGGCCGCAGGCGGTCCGCTCGGACTAGGCGGGTGAAGGTCGGGGAACATATGCGCACGACCCATCGGTCACTGAACACAGAGATCGGTTTCGGGGACCAGCACTCTGGCTCCCGCCTGCGTGCTCTGTATCATGCCATGCTGTACACCCATGCCAAGGAGACCACCGGGCGCATGGCAGCATCCTCGAAGATCGTCACATCCTCCACCCTTACTGTGGCGCTCAGGGCTTTCCTCGCCGCCAGGGATTACGCGGGCGCTTATGTGGTCATACGGACGTTCGCGATTTGCCGGGTGGACGTACCTGCCCGAGCCTGGCTTTCCGTCTTCAAAGAACTCAGTCGACGGGCACGATTGGACATACCCCAGGCCCAGCGACAGCTCGCCATCAGCGCTCGCTGGGGCGTTGGCGATGAGAAGGGCATGACGTGGATCCTTCAGTTTCTGGGCGGCGCTATCCAGAACTGGATGGGCATTGAGGGCGAGACGCTCCAAGCCCTGATATACGCCCAGATGATGCACTTCGGTCAGATTCCCTCCGTGCGTTTGCAATTGGACCCAGAAGACATCATCGGCATGCAGGACGCGTACAATCTGCACGAGTCGGTGCAGTCGATACAGGGCACAGCACCTACGTTTCTCGCGGACGAGACGTACGCTATGAATCATCCCATATCCGCTACCAAGATTCAGAGGAGAAACGTGGTCCCGTCACTGGCTATGCTTCTGGGTCTTGAACCCTTCCCACAGGCAACTGTCACGTCGTTCGCTCGTGCACCCCTCGAGCGGCTCATCCGACGTGCTATTCTCTCGTCTATGGACCCAGCCGATAACAGCGAGATTCTGTATGCGGAAAAGCAGGGGAATGTCGTAGTGCACCCGAACCTCATGGCGGCGGCAGACGGCAGAAGGCTCGCGAACGTCGTCGCCAATGCGAAGCTAGAGATGGTGCCGGAGCTTGGCCGAGGCATGGGACACATGTACCGCCATCGCAAGCTTGATTACGTGAAGAAAAGGTTTACGCGGCGTCGTGGACAGCAGCTAGGTCCCAGTGAACCGGTGGTGCAGGAATTCAACGCGTAAGCGACGTGTGTAAGCTGGCGCCAAGCGCCGGTCCCGACTCCCCCCCTTGGCATGTGCGTTATGGCATACGCAGTCACATATGGCCGATGAGGCTGTGAACATAGGTAAATTTGAGTAGATAGGCTTATTAATCGGATAATAAACCGAATTTGTGAGGCCCGAGTGGCTGTACGTATAGTGCAAAAGATGTCATCGGCCGAATGGCCTCCGATCCTCACGTGATATTTCGTGGATAATCCGCACGTGAATTTGCAATGACTGCGAACAAACATTTGTGATGGTTCCAGAGAGAGATAAAGGTGAACAGGTCTAGCAATGCATATATACAAGAAGTGATGCAGCTGCACCATGAGCTTCCTCCAGAGGTGTACTTGCCGGTTCTTGGAGACATACCCTTGTTGCCATTCCATCCTGGTACCATATCCTTCCTCCACTGTCAATATACCTTGATGTGAAGTGTAAATTACCAAAGTA